GCGATGAGGTTTCTTTCTTTCTTTCTTTTTTAAATCATGCCACATGATTTTTAATTACACCTAAAGATCTAACATATCACCCAGGGACCATTTCACCCACTGCTGTGTTTGGCTGCCAGCCTCATTTCTCTCTTAGCAGTGGTGAGGCGGGCACCCTTTCCTCGGGGAAGAGAAATCCATGGTTTGTTGCCCTTGCCAATAACTAAAATATTGGAAAGTCGGGTGGCAAAGCTGTTGCCATTGGCATCTTTCACGTGAACCACATCGAAAGATCCAGGGTGCCTCTCTCTGTTGGTGATCACACCAATTCTTCCCGGGTTAGCACCCTCAGTCACCATACACAGGTTGGTTACCAGTGTCAAGCATGATGAAATCAGTGACCTGCCAGTCTCCAAGTCAGTCTGAGTGGTGTCATTCACCTTGATGAGGGGATCGGGGTAGCGGACGGTTCGAGCGCCATGACTCACCATTGGAGGGATTCCTTCTGTGCCCACAAAGATTTTTCGTACTTTGCACAATTTGTACTTCGCCTCCTCAGGCGTAATGCAATGTACAGCAAAGCGACCCTTGGTGTCATAGATCAGACGGAATCTACGACCCTTGGTGTCATAGATTCTCTCCCATCTCGTCAATGCTGTTGACACCCATGAAACCAGCAGGGTAGGTTATATCAGTTCGGACCTTGCCATCGGTCTTAACGAGCCTCTGCATGCCCATCTTCTTCACTTCACCTCCTGGCAAGGCATACTGAAGTCTGTTCCTTAGGAAAATGATGAGGGGCAGACACTCTCTCAACTTGCGAGGGCCGGTAGATGGACGAGGAGCAAACACACCGGTCAATTTATCCAGCATCCAATGCTTTGGAGCCGCCACCCGCTTCAGATGCTTCTTGGGACCACGAGCCGTGGCTGCGTTAGGCAAGGAAAGAGGACCTCCGTCTTCCGGTGAGCGTAGAAATTGGGGCGCGATGAGGTTTCTTGAGGAGGTTTTATAGCCTAGCCTGAGGTGGTGTCTCCTGGAGGATGTTTGTGTGTTTGACAATATATATTCTTTAGCATCTTAAATTCCATTTTGGATGTTTTGATCGGGGCTCTGTGTCCCCATGCTGGAACTTAAGTGAACACTTGGCTCAACATCCATTGCTGTTCTCTAGAAATCCAGCCCAGTACCCTTGGTTAAATATAAAGTATATGTAGTAGGCATTTCTCATTATTTCTGGAGAGAAAACTCAGGAGGATTACCCCATGATTATCAAGGCTCACCTGCCGAGTCTTTGAAGTATGGACCTGGAGATGGTCCTCTTAGGGGTTTATGTTCTGGTTTCCAGCAAACATGCAAACAAGGCAGATAAATACATCTTTCTTGTTTTTGTCTATTTTAACCTGGTCAAGGAAAATTCCAACAAGAAATCCACCATGCTGGAGCTGGAACGTCTCAGGCCGTGACCCTCTACAAGGAAGCACTTCCTGTTGTCAGAAAGAAAAGAAAGTGCATCCTTGTACAGGGTTACTGTCTGAGAAGAGCAATGTTGAACGTGACGCTGATGTTTGTCACACATTTGCAGAGCATGCTGATAATCAGACTTGGATGATGTTGGGCTTTTGTTTTTGTTTTTTTTTCTTTCTTTCTTTCTTTCCTTTTTTTTTTTTTTTGAGACGGAGTCTTGCTCTATTGCCCAGGCTAGAGTGCAGAGGCTTGATCTCGGCTCACTGCAACCTCTGCTGCCCAGTTCAAGTGATTCTCCTGTCTTAGCCTCCCAAGTAGCTGGGACTACAGGCACACGCCACCATTCCTGGCTAATTTTTGTATTTTAGTAGAGATGGGATTTCACCATGTTGGTCAGGCTGGTCTTGAACTTCTGACCTCAGGTGATCCACCTGCCTTGGTGTCCCAAAGTGCTGGGATTACAGACGTGAGCCACCGCGCCTGGCCTGTTTTGTTTTTTTCTAAGACAGGGTGTCTATTGCCTAGGCTGGAGTCTGCTGGCACTTCCAACCTAGATCTCTTAGGCTCATGTGGTCCTCTTTTTTGAGACAGAGTCTCGCTCTGTGACCCAGGCTGACGTGCAGTGGTAGGAACTCCACTCACTGCATCCTCTGCCTCCTGGGTTCAAGCCATTCTCCTGCCTCAGCTTCCCAAGTAGCTGAGATAAGAGAGATGAGCCACCTTGCCTGGCTAATTTTTGTACTTTTATTATTGATTGATGTATTCATGTTTGAGACAGAGGCTCGCCCTGTCCCCAGGCTGGAGGGCAGTGGCACAATCCCAAGTGACTCTCCTGCCTCAGCCTCTCAAGTAGCTGGGGTTACAAGCGCATACCGCCATGCCCTGCTCATTTTCGTGTCTTTTTCAGTAGAGATAGGGTTTCAATATGTTGGCCAAGTTGGTCTCCAACTCCTGACCTTCAGTGAGCACATGGACAGGAAAGAAGAGAGCAAGGCCTGTTCTTTGTTTCCATCTTTGGCTTTTTGAGACAGTCTCGCTCTGTCCCCTGGGATGGGGTGCAGTAGTGTAACCTCACCTCACTGCAACCTCTGCCTCCTGGGTTCAAGCAATTTTTTTTGTGTCAGAGTCTTGCTGTGTCTGCCAGGCCCGACTGCAGTGGTATGATCTGAGCTCACTGCAGTCTCAGCCTCCCAAGTAGTTGGGATTGCATGCGCGTACCCACCTACCAGATTTTTTTTTTTTTTTTTTTTTTAGACACAGTTTCACCATGTTGGCCAAGCTGTTCTCAGGTGATTTGCCTACCTAGGCCTCCCAAAATGGTGGGATTATAGGCATGAGCCACTACACTCGGCCTTTTTTTCTAATGTTGAACGTGGCCCCCATCATGAATTTGGGTGTCACCTCTGTGCAGAGAACATGGTAATCTCTGTCATTCCATTCATGTTTTTATGTGTGTTGCCAAAACAAGCAGTTGCGTGTGGGAAGCATTCTTCATGTGAGCGTGCAGTGTAGCCTCAAAAAAAAAAGAAAAAAGACTTTCTTTTTGGTCCCGATCTCAGAAATACACGATGTATATTTCATTATGGAATCTCATATAATCATACGCACCCAAAGTAGTCTTCTAGACACAGAGAATACGCTTACATCACATTGGGGTTGTGTGTGTTCGTGTAAGTCTTTTTAACTTTTTGAGACACAGCGTGGTTATGTTGCCAAGGCTGGCGTGCAGTGGTGCCATCTCTAATCACTGTCAGCTCCACCTGCCACCTCAGCCTCCTGGATTAGTGTCCTTAAGTGCACGCCACCACACCTGGCTACGTTTTGTACTTTTTGTACAGATGACGTTTCTCCATGTTGCCCAGGCTTGTCTCAAACTGCTGAGCTCAAGTGGTCCTCCTGCCTCGGCTTTCTGAAGTGCCGGGATTAGCGGTGGGAGCCACCGCAAGACACCTGTACCTGTGTATTTCTGTTCAAATCATACTGGGGAGCTTTTACAGCATTAGTCTGTGGTCTGTCCTGGAGGACGTCTGTGTGTGTGACAGTGTGTATTCTTCAACATTTTAGATTCCATTTGGGATGCTCCCGTCGGGACTGTGCGTCCCTGTGCTGGTACTCAAGTGAAACTTGGCTCAACATCCATCGCTCTTCTCTAGAAATCCAGCCCAATTCTCTTGGTTAAAGATAAGGTATGTCTAGTAGGCATTGTTCTTTCTCTTTGGAGACAAAAGTCAGGAGGATTGCCCCTTGATGAATAAGGCTAACCTGCTGGGCCTTTGAAGCAAGGAACTGGAGATGGTCCTTTCAGGGGATTACGTTCTGGATTCCAGAGAGTATGCAAACAGGGCCACTAAATGCATCTTTATTTTTGTGTCCATTTTAACCTAGTTGCACAAATTCCAACAAAAAACCCATCATGCTGGAGCAAGAAAATCTCATGCTGTGACCCTCCCGAGGGAAGCACTTTCTGTTTGAAAGAAAAGAAGTCGCTTCCCTCAGGGGGTTACTGTTTGAGAAAAGCGACGTTGAACTTGATGCTGATCTTGGTAAGATGTTTGCAGGGCACGCTTATGATCAGACCTGGATGATGTTGGGGTTCTGTTTTTGTTTTGTTTTTTTCTAAGACAGGGTCTCTTGCCCACCGTTGGAGTGTGGTGGCACTTCCAACCTAGATATCCTGGGCTCAGGTGGTCCTCTTTTAATTTAATTTTTTATTTTTTGAGACAGAGTCTCACTCTATCACCCAGGCTGGAGTGCAATCGTAGGATCTCTCCTCACCGCAACTCCTGCCTCCCAGGTTCAGCGATTTCTCCCACCTCAGCCTCCCAAGTAGCTGGGATTATAAGCACCCACCACCACACCCTGTTAATTTTTGTGTTTTTAGCAGACAGATGGTTTCACCATGTTGGCCAGGCTGGTCTCAATTCCTGACCTCAAGTGATCCTCCTCCCTGGCCTCCCAAAGCGGTGGGATTACAGGTGTGAGCCACCATGCCTGGCCTCTTCAACATCTGAGATTCCATTTTGGATGCTCCCGTTGCAGTGTGTCCCTGTGCTGGAACTCAAGTGAACACTCGGCTCAGCATCCACTGCTGTTCTCTAGAAAACCAGCCCAATTCTCTTGGTTAAATATAAGGTACGTCTAGTGGGTGTTGCTTTATCTCTTTGCGGACAAAACTCAAGATGATTGCCCCGCGATGAACAAGGCTAACGTGCTGAGCCTTTAAAACAAGGAACTGTAGGTGGTCCTTTTAAAAGGGTTTGTGTCCTGGAGTCCAGAAAACGTGCAAACAGGGCCAGTAAGTGCGTCTTTATTGTTGTGTCCATTGTAATCTGGTCAAGGAAAATTTCAACAGAAAACCCAGAATGCTGGAGCAAGACCTCATGCTGTGACCCTCCAAAGGAAAACGCTTTCTGTTGTCTATAAGAAATGAATGAGTTTTCCTTTAGAGTGTTACCGTTTGAGAAAAGCAGCGATGACGTTGATGCTGAACTTGGTAATACCTTTGCAGATCATGCTTATAGTCAGACTTGGATGATGGTGGAGTTCTTTTTTTTTTTTTTTTTTTTTTTTAAGATAGGGTCTCTGTTACTCAGGCTGGAGTGTGGTGGCACTTCCAACCTAGGTCTCTTGTGCTCAGATGGTCCTCTTTTTTGGGACAGAGTCTTGCCCTGTGAGCCAGGCTGGAGTGCAGTGGCTCAATCTCAGCTCACTGCAGCCCTCGCCTCCCAGTTTCAAGGGATTCTCCTGCCTCAGATTTCTGAGTAGCTAGGAATAGAGGCGACTGACACCACGCCTGGTTAATATTTGCATTTTTCTTTCTTATTTATTTACTTTTGATACGAAGTCTTGCTGTCACCCATCCTGGAGTGCAGTGGCAGGATCTCGGCTGACTGCAACCTTTGCCTCTTGGGTTCAAGCAGTTCTTCTGCCTCAGCCTCCCAAGCAGCCAGAATTACAAGTGCCCACCAACGCAACTGGCTACTTTTGTTTTAGTGGAGGATGGGTTTCACCGTGTAGGCTAGGCTGGTCTCTAACCCCTGAGCTCTCAGCTGGGCCTCCCGCCTTAGCCTCCCCAAGTACTGAAAATGCAGGTGTGAGCCACTTCGGCGAGCCGTCAACACCTTTTACGTGATGGAAATTATTCTGGCACTCACCTCACCTGGGGTCAGGTAGAGTTGAAGGGGACACTAGCGGCCCTTGATGATGTGATGTGCACTGTTTACCAAGAGCACAGAGGTGGAATGCATGGGATTTGAATTTTCAATGGGTAAATAAAACTGAAATTATGGGTGCATGATCAGGTCACATATGCAACGAGATGTGCGTGTGTGACAATGTGTATTCTTCAACATCTTAGATTCCATTTCGGATGCTCCTGTCTGGACTGTGTGTCCCTGTACTGGAACTCGAGTGAACACTTGGCTGAAAATCCATTGCTGTTCTCTAGAAATCCAGCCTAATTCTCTTGGCTAAAGATAAGGTATGGCTAGTAGGCATTGCTTTTTCTTTCTGGAGTCAAAACTCGGGAGGATTGCTCCTTGATGAGCAAGGGTAACCTGCTGAGCCTTGGAAGTGAGAATCTGGAGATGGTCCTTTTAGGGGTTTATGTTCTGGATTCGAGGAAACAGGCAAACAGGGCCAATAAATGTATCTTTATTTTTGTGTCCATTTTAACCTGGTCAAGGGAAATTCCAACAAAAATCCCAGAGTGCTGGAGCAAGAAGATCCCAGGCCGGGACCCTCTGGAGGGGCGTGCTTTCTGTTGTTTATAAACAAACAAAGCACATCCCTCTAGAGTGTCACCGCCTGACAAGAGCAACGTTGAAGTTGATGCTGACCTTGGGGACACATTTGCAGAACATGCTTGTATCAGACGTGGATGATGTTGGGGTTTTGTGTTTGTTCTGTTTTGTTTTGTTTCCTACGACGGGGTGTGTGTTGCCCAGGCTGGAGTGCAGTGGCACTTCCAACCTGGATCTGTTGGGCTCAAGTGGTCCTCTTTTTTGGGACAGAGTCTCACCCAGTGAGCCTGGTGACGGAGTGCCGTGTCAGGAACTCCACTCACTGCAACGTATGCCACCTGGGTTCAAGCAATTTTCCCGCCTCAGCCTCCTGAGCAACTAAGATACCAGGCAGGTGCCACCACACCCGGGGAATTTTTGTATTTTTATTGTTTATTTATTTTTGAAGCAGAATCTCACGCTTTTGTCTGGGCTGGAGTGCGGTGGTGCTATCTCGGCTCAGCTGCAACCTCTACTTCCCACCTCAGCCTCCTGCATAACTGTCTGCAAGTATGCACCACTACCTGGCTAACTTTTGTATGTTTTGTATAAATGTGGGTTCACCATGTTGCCAGGTCTGGTCTCGAACCCCTGATTGAAGTGATCCTCCCGCCTTGGCCTCCTAAAGTGCTGAGATGAGAGGTGTGAGCCACTGTACCCAACCAGTTCTTGTGTGTGTTTCTGCCCAAATTTTATCAAGAAGCTTTTGCTGCATAGCCTGCGGTCTCTCCTGGAGGATGTGTGTGCCTCTGACCATGTATATTCTTCAACATCTTAGATTCCATTTCAGATGCCCCCATGGGGACTATGTGTCCCTGTGCTGGAACTCAAGTGAACACTTGGCTCAATATCCATTGCTGTTCTCTAGAAATCCAGCCCAATTCTTTTGGTTAAAGATAAGGTATGTCTAGTGGGCGTTGCATTTTCTCTTTGAGGACAAAAGTCAGGAGAATTGCTCCTTCATGATGAAGGCTGACCTACTGAGCCTTTGAAGCAAGGAACTGGCGATGGTCCTTTTAGGGGTTTGTGTTCTGGATTCCAGAAAACACGAAAACAGGGCAAGTAAATACACCTTTATTTTTTGTGCTCATTTTTTTCTTTTCTTTTTTTTTTTAGAGATGGGGTTTCACCATGTTGGCCAGGCTGGTCTTGAACTCCTGACCTCGTGATCCTCCCGCTTCGGCCTCCCAAAGTGTTGGGATTACGGGCGTGAGCCACCGTGCCTGACATTTTTTTCTTTTTTTTTTGAGACGCAGTCTTGTTCTGTCGTCAGGTGCCAGGCTGGAGTGCAGTGGCGCAATCTCAGCTCACTACAATCTCCGCCTCCCGGGTTCAAGCAATTCTCCTGCCTCATCCTCCGGAGTAGCTGGGGCTACAGGCGCACACCACCATGCCCAGCTAATTTTTGTATTTTTTTTTAGTAGAGTTGGGGTTTCACCATGTTGGCCAGGATGGTCTCGATCTCTTTACCTTGTGATCTGCCCGCCTCAGCCTCCAAAAGTGTTGGGATTACAGGCGTGAGCCACCGCACCTGTTTTTTTGTGTGTGTTCATTTTACCTTAGTTGAGAATGATTCCAAAAAAAAAACGCAAGGTGCTGGAAGATCTCAGGCCGTGACCGTCTACAGGGAAGCGCTTTCTGTTGTCAGAAAGAAAAGAAAGTGCATCCTTGTAGTGGGTCACTGTTTGAGAAGAGCAACGTTGAAGTTGATGCTGATCTTGGTAATACTTGCAGAGCATGCCTATGATCAGACTTAGATGATAAAAGATGTTGTTTTTGTTTTTCTTAAGGCCGGGTGCTGTTGCCCAGGCTGGAGTGGAGTGGCACTTCCAACCTAGATCTCTTGGGCTCAGATGATCCTCTTTTTTGGGACAGTCTCACTCTGTAACCCAGACTGGAGCGCAGTGGCAGAAACTCCTCAGTGTACCCTCTGCCTTCCGAGTTCAAGCCATTCTCCTCATGCAGCCTGCCAAGGAGCTGGGATTAGAAGCATGAGCCACCATGCCCGGGTAATTGTTGAATTATTTATCTATTTATTATTGATTGATTGAGACAAGTTCAAGTCTCCCCCAGGCTGGAGTGCAGTGGCACAATCTCTGCTCACGGCAACCTCCGCCTCCCAGGTTCAAGCACTTCTCCTGCCTCAGCCTCCTGATTAGCTAGGGTTACAGGTGTGTGCCACCATGCCCGGCTAACTTAGAATTCATTTTCGATGTTCCCATCAGGACTGTGTGTCCCTGTGCTGGAACTCAAGTGAACATGTGGCTCAACATCCATTGCCGACCTCTAGAAATCCAGCCCAATTCTCTTGGTTCAAGGTAAGGTATGTCTCGTAGGCATTGCTTTTTCTTTTTGGAGACAAAGATAATTCCAACAAAGAATCCAGAGTGCTGGAGCAAGAAGATTCCATGCTGTGTCCCTCCAAAGGGAAGCGCTTTCTGTTGTCTGAAAGAAAAGAAGGCGCTCCCCTTTAGAGGTTTACGGTTTGAGAAAAGCAGCGTTGAAGTTGGTGCTGATCTTGGTAATACATTTGCAGGGCAAGCTTATGATCAGATGTGTCGATGGTGGGGTGCTGTTTTGGTTTTGTTTTTTTCCAAGACAGGGTCTCTTTTGCCCAGGCTGGAGTGTGGTGGCACTTCCAGCCTAGATCCCTCGGGCTCAAGGTGTCCTCTATTTATCTATTTATTTAGAGATGGAGTCTCACTCTGTCGCCCGGGCTGGAATGCAATGTGTCCACTTTATCCTGGTCGAGGATAATTCCACCAAAAAAATCCACGGTGCTTGAGCAAGAAGGTCTTGCTGTAGCCCTCTTGAGGGAATCACTTTCTGTTGTGTAAAAGAAGAGAAAGTGCTTCCCTTTAGAGAGTTACTGTTTGAGAAAAGCAACGTTGAAGTTGATGCTCAGCCTCCCGAGTAGCTGGGATTACAGGTGCCCACCACCACACCCAGCTTAATTTATTTTTTTATTTTTTTTTATTTTTAGTAGAGACAGATTTTCACCATGTTGGCCAGACTGGTCTGGAGCAACAGACCTCAGGTGAGCTTTCTGTCTCGGCTTCCCAAAATGATGGAAATACAGGTGTGAGCGACTGTACTCGGCCTTGTCTTATATTTAAAATTGGGGAGGGGGAAGATGCCCATACCTAAACAGCAAATCATTCGTTATTCAAGTAGATCTCAAATACATCATTTATCGGAATTACAGATTTAACTGGGGGTGGGGCATAAACCAAAGGCATTGCTTTTTGTCTTTCGGATCAAAACTCAGGAGCGTTGCCCTTTGATGAACAAGGCTGCCCTGCTGAGCCTTTGAAGCAGTGAACTGGAGATGGTCCTTTTAGGGGTTTATGTTCCGGATTCCAGAAAACATGCAGACAGGGCAAATACATGCATCTTTACTTTTTGTGTTTAACCTGGCGAAGAAAAATTCCAACAAAGAACTAAGAGTACTGGAGCAAGAAGATCTCCTGCTGTGACCCTCTAGAGGGAAGCACGTTCTGTTGTCTGAAAGAAAAGAACGTGCGTCCTTTTAGAGGGTTATTGTTTGAGAAAAGCAATGTCGAAGTTGCTGCTGACCTTGGTGATGCATTTGCAGACCATGCTGATAGTCAGACGTGGATGATGTTGAGGTTCTGTCTTTGTTTTGTTTTTTTTCCAAGGCAGGATCTCTGTTGCCCGGGCTGGAGTGGGTGGCACTTCCAACGAGGTCTCTCGGGCTCCAGGGATCCCCTTTTTACCTATTTTCAATTTATTTTTATTTATTTATTTTTGAGATGGAGTTTTCCCTTTTACCCAGGCTGGAGTGCAATGGCACGATCTCAGCAACCTCCCCCTCCTGGGTTCAAGCGATTCTCCTGCCTCAGCCTCCTGGGAAGGTGGGATTAGAAGGGCCCACCACCACACCCAGCTAATTTTTATGTTTTCAGTAGAGATGGGGTTTTGCCATGTTGGCCAGCCTTGTCTTGAACTCTTGACCCAAGGTGATTTGCTCCCCTTGGCTTCCCAAAATGCTGGGATTACAGGCGTAAGCCACATGCCCAGGCTCAAGTGGCCCTCTTGAGTCAGCGTAGACTGGTCTGTGCTGGAGGATGTTCGCGTGTGACAATGCATATTCTTCAACATCTTAGGTTTCATTCTGGTTGCTCCCATCTGGACTGTGTGTTCCTTGTGCTGGAACTCAACTGAACGCTTGGCTCAACTTCCATTGCTGTTCTCCAGAAATTCCGCCCAACTCTCTTGGTTACAGGTAAGGTATGTGTAGTAGGCATTGCCTTTTCTGTTTGAGGACAAAAGTCAGGAGGATTTCCCTTTGAACAAGACTAACCTGCTGAGCCGTTGAAGCAAGGACCTGGGGACGGTTGTTTTAGGGGTGTATGTCCTCGATTCCAGAAAACATGCAAGCAAGGGCTATAAATGCATCTTCATTTTTTGTGTCCATTTTAACCTGATGAAGGGAAATTCCAACAAAAAACCTGCAGTGCTGGAGCAAGAAGATCTCATGCTGTGACCCTCTAAAGGGAAGCACTTTCTGTTGTGCAAAAAAAAAGCAAAGCGCTTCCCTTTAGAGTGTCACGGTTTGGGCAAAGCGACATTGAAGTGGATGCTGATCTTGGTAATACGTTTGCAGAGCATGCTTATAGTCAGACTTGGATGATGGTGGGGTTCTGTTTTATTTTTTTATTTGTTTGTTTTCTAAGACTGGGTCTCTGTTGCCCAGGTTGGAGTGTGGTGTCTCTTTTTCGGGACAGAGTCTTGCTGTTACCCGGGTTAGAGTGCAGTGGTGGGATCTTGACTCAGTGCAACCTCCACATCCCAAGTTTAAGTGATTCTCCTTCCTCAGCTTCCTGAGTAGCTGGGATTACCCGGGCCCTACATCATGCCCAGTTGGTATTTGTTGTTGTTGTCGTTGTTTTAAATGATTCATTTATATTATATTTTTTGAGACAGAGTCTCGCTGTCTCCCAGGCTGGAGGGAGATCCCGCTGACTGCAACCTCCGCTTCTTGGGTTTAAGCACTTCTCCTTCCTCAGCCTCCCGAGTAGCTTGAAATACATTTGCCTGCCACCACGCCTGACTACGTTTTGTATATATTTTTTTAGTAGAGATTGTGTTTCACCATGTTGGCCAGGCTGTTCTCAAACCCCTGACTTCAAGTGAGCCGCTCGCCTCAGCCTCCCGAAGTGGTGAGAACACAGGTGTGTGTCACCATGGGTGGCCATCAACACCTTTGACTCCATGGAAATTATTCTAGCACTGGTTTAGAGAACCTCACTTGGGGTCAGGTAGAGTTGGAGCGGACCTCAGTGCCCCTTGAATATGGGATGGGGACTGCTGCAAGAGCACGGAGGTGAAATGCATTGGGGTTTCAGTGTTTATTGGGTAAATGAAACTGAAATCTTGGGGAGGTGACCAGGAGATACGTGCGTGACACATGTGTCTCTCTCTACTGCCCAGGCTAAACTAGGGGTAGGTCCTCCTGCCTCTGCCCCTCCCCCATCCTTCATAGATGGGAACACATGTGAATATTAACTCATGCACAGGCAAGAGGAAAGGAAGGACTGTTCTTTGGTTCATGCCCCACCCCCAGTTTAGCTTGTATTTTAGATAAACCATGTATTTGAGTTGTACTCGAGCAGCAAATGATTTACTGTTTAGGTGTGAACATCTTTTTTTTTTTGCTAATTTAAAATATGGGAATAGTCCAGGCACGGTGGCTCAGGCTTGTAAATCCAGCACCTTGGGAGGCCAACACAGGAGGATCACCTGAGGTCAGTCGTGTCCCTGCACTGGAACTCAAGTGAACATGTGGTTCAAAATCCATTGCTTTTTGTCTAGAAATCTTGCCCATTTCTCTTGGTTAAGTATGAGGTATGTGCAGTAGGCCTTGCTTTTTCTTTCCCGAGGTAGAACTCAGGAGGATTGCCCCATGATAAACAAGGTTAACCTGCTGAGCCTTCGAACCACAGAATTCAAGATTGTCCTTTTAGATGCTTGTATTCTGCATTGTAGAAAACATGCAAACAGGGCCAATAAATGCGTCTTTATTTTTGTCTCCGTTTAAACCTAGTGAAGGAAAATTTCAACAGAAAGTTCGCAGTTCCGAGCAGGGAGATCTCAGGCTGTGACCCTCTAGACGGGAGCACTTCCTTTGTCTGAAAGAAATAGAAAGTGTACCCGTTTAGAGGATTACGGTTTGAGAAAAGCAACGTCGAAGTGGATGCTGATCTGGGTAATACCTTTGCAGAGCATGCTTATGGTCAGAATTGGATGATGTTGGTTTTTGTTTGGTTTGGTTTGGTTTGGTTTTGAGACAGAGTTTCACTCTTGTTACCCAGGCTGCAGTGCAATGGCGCGATCTCGGCTCACTGCAACCTCTGCCTCCTGGGTTCAAGCAATTCTCCTGCCTCAGCCTCCTGAGTAGCTGGGACTACAGGCACGCACCACCATGCCCAACTAATTTTTGTATTTTTAGTAGAGACAGGGTTTCACCTTGTTGAACAGGATCGTCTCGATCTCTTAACCTCGTGGATCCACCCGCCTCGGCCTCCCAAAGTGCTGGGATTACAGGCGTGAGTCATTGCGCCCGGCCCAATGTTGTTGTTGTTGTTTTTTTTCTCCCTTAAGACAAGGTGTCTGTTGCCCAGGCTGGAGTCCAGTGGCACTTCTAACCTTTATCTGTTGGGCTCAAGTGGTTCTCTTCTTTGGGACAGTCTTGCTCTGTGACCCAGGCTGGAGGGTCACCCATCTGGAGGATGTGACCCAGGCTCAGGAACTCCCCTCACTGCAACCTCCGCCTCCTGGCTTTACGGAGTTCTCTTGCCCAAGCCTCCTGAGCCACTGGGATTACAGGCATGTGCTGTCACACTCAGCTCATTTTTGTAGTTTTATTATTGGTTGATGATTGATTGATTGATTTTTGAGACAGAGTCTTGCTCTGTCGCCGAGACTGAATTGCAGTGGTATGGTCTTGGCTCATGGCAACCTCCACCTCCAATCTCAGCCTCCTGAATAGCTGTCTACAGGCACGCACCAGCGTACCAGGCTGACTTCTGTATTTTTTTGTACAGGCTTTGTTTCACCCTGTTGCCCAGGCTGGTCTTGAACTCCTGAGCTCAAGTGATTTGGCCACCTGGGTCTCATAAAGTGCTGCAGTTGTAAATGTGATCCCCCATGCCCTACCCTTACTGGTGTGTTTATCCTCCAATTCTATTATTAAGGAGCCTTTTTTCCTTGTTTTTTTTTCAGATGGAATTTCACTCTTGTTGCTTAGATTGGTGTGCAATGACGCGGTCTCAGTTAACTGCAGCCTTTGCATCCCGTGCTCAAGTGATTCTCCTGCCTCACCCTCTGAGTAGCTGGAATACAGGCAGGTACTATCATGCTCAACTAATTTTGTATTTAAAGAGATGGGGTTCCTTGAGGAGGTTTCTGGCCTAGCCTGTGGTTGTCTGTTCTGGAGGATGTTCGTGTATATGACAATGTATATTCTGTGGCATCTTAGATTTCATTTTGGATGCTCTGATTGGGTCTGTGTGGCCCTGTACCGGAACTCAAGTGAACACTGGGTGAAAATCCATTGCTGTTCTCTAGAAATCCAGCCCAATCTCCTGGTTAAATACAATGTATGTCTAGCAAGCATTGCTTTTTCTCATTGGGGACTAAATCAGGAGGATCGCTCCTTCATGATCAAGGCTGCCCTGCTGAGCCTTTGAAGGAAGGAACTAGAGATGCTCCTTCTAGGGGTTTATACTCTGGATTCCAGAAACAGGCAAACAGGGACAATGAATGCATCATTTCTGTGTGTCCGTTTTCACCTGGTCAGGGAAAATGTCACAAAAATCCCACGGTCCCGGAGCAGGAAGATGTCACGCTGTGACCCTCTAAAGGGTGGTGCGTTCTGTTGTCTAAAAGAAAAGCATCGAACGCGCCCCCCTTTAGGGGGTAACTGTGAGAAAAGCAAGGTGGAGGTGGATGCTGATCTTGGTAAGACGTTTGCAGAGCGTGCTTCTAATCAGACTTGCGTGATGTCAGGTTCTGTTTTTTCTTTCTTTCTTTCTTTTTTTGAGACGGAGTTTCGCTCTTGTTACCCAGGCTGGAGCGCAATGGCGCGATCTCGGCTCACCACAACCTCCGCCTCCTGGGTTCAGGCAATTCTCCTGCCTCAGCCTCCTGAGTAGCTGGGATTACAGGCACGCGCCACCATGCCCAGCTATTTTTTTGTATTTTTAGTAGAGACGGGGTGTCACCAAGTTGACCAGGATGGTCTTGATCTCTTGACCTCGTGATCCACCCGCCTCGGCCTCCCAAAGTGCTGGGATTACAAGCTTGAGCCACCACGCCCGGCCTTCTTTTTGCCCAGGCTGGAGTGTGGTGACACTTTCAACCTAGATATTTTGGGTTCAATGGGTCCTTTTGTTTTTCTTTCTTGAGAGAGAATTTGGTGGTGACACCCAGGTTGGAGTGTCTCTTTGGGGACAAAACTCAGAAAGATTGCCTTCTGATGAACAAGGCTAACCTGCTGAGCCTTTGAAGTAGGACTGGAGATGGTCCCTGTAGTGGTTTACATTCTGGCTTCTAGCGATGGATTTTGAACTTTATGGCCTAGTCTGTGGTGGTCTCTTCTGAGGTATATTTGTGTGTATGACCGTGTATATTCTTCAGCAGCTTACATTCCATTTTGGATGTTCCAATAGGGACTGTGGGTCCCTGTGCTGGAACTCACGTGAATACTTGGCTCAGAATCCATTGCTCTTCTCGAGAAATTCAGCCCAGTACTCTTGGTTAAATATAAGGTAAATGCAGTAGGCATTGTTTTTTATTTGTGGAGGAAAAATTCAGGAGGATCGCCTCATGATTATCGGGCTAACCTGCCGAGCCTTCGAAGCAGGGACCTGGAGCTGGCCCTTTAGGGGTTTTTGTTCTGGATTTGAGAAAACACACAAAAAAGGTAAATAGAGGCATCTTTATTTTTGTGTCTATTTTAACCTGGTCAAGGAAGATTCCAACAAAAACATCCACGGTGCTGGAGCAAGAAGATCTCAGGCTGTGACCCTCTAAAGGGAAGCACTTTCTGTTACTTGAAAGAACAAAAGTCGCGTCCCTTTAGAGTGCTACCGTTTGAGAAAAGCGACGTTGAACTTGATGCTGATCTTGGTAAGATGTCTGCAGGGCACGCTTATGATCAGACCTGGATGATGTTGGGGTTCTGTTTTTCTTTTGTCCTTTCTAAGACAGGGTCTCTGCTACCCAGGCTGGAATGTGGTGGCACTTCCAACCTAGATCGCTTGGGCTCAGGTGGTCCTCTTTTAATTTTATTTTTTATTTTTTGAGACGGAGTCTCACTCTATCACCCAGGCTGGAGTGCAATCGTAGGATCTCTCCTCACCGCAACTCCTGCCTCCCAGGTTCCAGCGATTCTCCCACCTCAGCCTCCCAAGTAGCTGGGATTATAAGCACCCACCATCACACCCTGTTAATTTTTGTGTTTTTAGCAGACAGATGGTTTCACCATGTTGGCCAGGCTGGTCTCAATTCCTGACCTTAAGTGATCCTCCTCCCTGGCCTCCCAAAGCGGTGGGATTACAGGTGTGAGCCACCATGCCTGGCCTCTTCAACATCTGAGATTCCATTTTGGATGCTCCCGTTGCAGTGTGTCCCTGTGCTGGAACTCAAGTGAACACTCGGCTCAACATCCACTGCTGTTCTCTAGAAAACCAGCCCAATTCTCTTGGTTAAATGTAAGGTACGTCTAGTGGGTGTTGCTTTTTCTCTTTGCGGACAAAAGTCAAGATGATTGCCCCGTGATGAGCAAGGCTAACGTGCTGAGCCTTTAAAACAAGGAACTGTAGGTGGTCCTTTTAAGGGTTTATGTTCTGGATTCTAGAAAACATGCCAACGGGGCTAATAAATAAATGCATCTTTATTTTTGTGTGCATTTTAACCTGGTCAAAAAAAATTTCATAAAGCCAGCGTGCTAGGCAAGACGATCTCATGCTGTGACCCTCCAAAGGGAAGCGCCTTTCTGTTGTCTGAAAGAACACAAGGCACTTCCCTTTAGAGCGTGAAAGACTGAGAAAAGCAGCGTTGACGTCGGTGCTGACCTTGGTAATACCTTAGCGGGGCATGCTCATCGTCCGGTTTCCATGATGGTGGAGTTCTGTTTCTTTTTTTTTTTTTTCTAAGACCAGGTCTCTGTTACCCAGGCTGGAGTGTGGTGGCACTTCCAACCTAGGTGTCTTGGGCTCATATGGTCCTCTTTTTTTTGGGACAGAGTCTTGCTCTGTGGTCCAGGCTGGAGTGCAGGGGCATGATCTTGGCTCACTGCAAACCTTCACCTCCCAGTTTCAAGGGATTCCCGTTCCTCAGATTCCTGAGTAGCTGGGATTATAGGTGCCTGATTCCATGCCTGTATAATGTTTCCACTGTTTTTTATTTTGACTTATTTTTGAGACAGAGGCTCCCAGTCGCTCAGGCTGGAGGGCAGTGGCAGGGTCTCAGTCTCCCCTGGAAGATACTTATGTGTGTGACAATGTATATTCTTCAACATGGTAGACTCCATTCTGGCTGCTCCCATCCGGACTCTGTGTCCCTGTACTGGAACTCAAGTGAACACTTGGCTCAAAATCCAGTGCTGTTCTATAGAAACCCAGCCTGATTCTCCTGGTTAGATACGAGGTCTGTGTGGTAGGCATTGCTTTTTCTTTCCGGAGGCAAAACTCAGGTGGATTGCCCCGTGATGAACAAGGCTAACCTGCTGAGCCTTTGAAGGAAGGAACTAGAGATGCTCCTTCTAGAGGTTTTTGTTCTGAATTCCAGGAAACATGCAAACAGGGCCAATCAATGCATCTTTATTTCTGTGTCCATTTTAACCTGCTCAAGGAAAATTCCGACAAAAAACCCGAAGTGCTGGACCAGGAAGATCTCATGCTGTGCTCCTCTAAAGGGAAGCATTTTCTGTTATTTGAAAGGAAAGAACTCGCTTCCCTTTAGAGTGTCACCGTTTGAGAAAAGCCACACGGAAGCTGATGCTGATCTTGGTAATACCTTTGCAGAGCATGCCTATAATCATACGTGGATGATGCTGGGGTTCTGTGTTTGTTTGTTTGTTTGTTCGTTTTTCTAAGACAGGGTATGTGTTGCCCAAGCTGTAGTGCAGCTTCCATCCTAGATTTCCTGGGCTCAAGTGGTCCTCTTTTTTTGGGACAGAGTCTCGCCCTGTAACCCAGGCTGGAGTGTCAGGAACTCCACCCACTGCAACATCTGCCACCTGGGTTCGAGCAATTCTCCTGCCTTAGTCTCCTAGGCACCTGGGATTACAAACGTGTTCCACCATGCCTGCCTCATTTTTGTATTTTTATTATTTATTTATCGATTTTTGAGACAGAGTCTCACTTTTTTGCCCAGGCTGGAATGCAGCGTTGCGATCTCAGCTCAGTGCAACCTCCCCCTCCCACCTAGGCCTCCTGAATAGCTGTCTGCAGGCACACACCACCATACCTGGCTGACTTTTGTATTTTCGTACGCATGGGTTATACCATGTTGCCAGGGCTGGTCTTGAACCCCTGAGCTCAGGTGATCCTCCGGTCTCCGCTGGAATTAGAGGTGTGAGCCACTGTGCCCCACCCATACTTGTGTATTTCTGTTTAAATTTTATTCAGGAGTGCTCCACCCTGCAGGATGTTCGTGCCTATGACAATGTGTATTCTTCATACCTTAGATTCCATTTTGGATGCCCCCATCGGGACTGTGTATCCGAATACTGGAATTCAGGTGGATGTTTGGCTCAAAATCCATTGGTCTTCTGTAGGAATCTAGCCCAGTTATTTTGGTTAAAGATAAGGTATGTCTACTAGGCATTGCTTTTTTCTTGGAGACAAAATTCAGGATTGCCTCTTGATGTATAAGGCTAACCTCCCGTTTTTTTTTCTTTGAAGCCTGGGACCTGGAGATGGTCCATTTACAGGTTTGTTGTGGATTCCAGAAAACACGCAAACAGGGCCAATAAATGCGTCTTTACTTTTGTGTCCATTTTAACCTGGTCAAGGAAGATGCTAGCAAAAAATCCATAGTGCTGGAGCAAGATCATCTCAGGCCGTGACCGTCTACAGGGAAGCGCTTTCTGGTGTCTGAAAGAAAAGAAAGTGCAGCCTTGTAGAGAGTTATTGTTTGAGAGAAGCAACGTTGAAGTTGGTGCTGATGTTGGTAATACACTTGTAGAGCATGCGGATAGTCAGACTTGGATATGGTGGGGTTTTGCTTTCGCTCTGTTTTATTCCAAAACAAGGTGCTTGTTGCCCAGGCTGGAGTGGGTGGAGCTTCCAACCCAGATCTCTCGGGCTCAAGTGATCTTCTTCTATTTTTGTTTTTGACAGGGAGTCTCACTGTTGTCGCTCAGCCTGCAATGCAGTGTCAGTATCTCGGCTCACTGCAACCTGAGCCTCCTGTGTAGGTGGGATGACAGGTTCATGCCACCATGCATGTTTAATTTTTGTATTTTCTCTTCTATGTTTGTAGAGATTGTTTCACCATGTTGGTTGGCCAGGCTGTTTAAACTCCTGACCTCAGGTGATTCACCTACGTAGGCTTCCCAAAGGGCTGGGATGACAGGCACTCTCATTGGCCTTTTTTTTTTTTTTTGCTAATTTTGAATCTGGCACCCATTATGAATTTGGATTTCATGTCTGCGCAGGGGCCGTGGTAATCTCTGTCATTCCATTCTTTTGTTTTTTTTTGAGACAGAGTTTTGCCCTGTTGCCAGGCGCCAGGCTGGAGTGCAGTGGTGCGATCTCGGCTCACTGCAACATCTGCCTCCCGGGTTTAAGCAATTCTCTTGCCTCAGCCTCCCGAGTAGCTGGGACTACAGGCGCACATTCACCACACCCAGCTAATTTTTTGTATTTTTAGTAGAGACAGGGTTTCACCATGTTGGCCAGGATGGTCTTAATCTCTTGACCTCGTGATCCACCCGCCTTGGCCTCCCAAAGTGCTGGGATTCTTTATGTGAACATACAGTATATGGAACTGTGTGTCCCTATACTGGAACTCCGGTGAACACATGGCTCAAAATCCATTGCTGTTCTCTAGAAACCCTGCCCAGTTCTCTTGCTTAAAGATAAGGTATGTCTAGTAGGCATTGCTTTTTTTCTTTGAGGACAAAACTCATAAGGATTTCCCCTTGATGAACAAGGCTGACCTGCTGAGCCTTTGAAGCATGGAACTGAGATGGTCCTTCTAGGGGTTTATGTTCTGGATTCCAGAAAACATGGAAACAGGGCAAGCAAATGCATCTTTACTTTTGTGTCCATTTTATCCTGCTCAAGGAAAATTTCCTCGAGAAATCTGTGGTGCTGGAGCAAGAAGATCCCATGCTGTGACCCTCTCGAGGGAAGCACTTTCTATTGTCTGCAAAAAAAAGGCGCTTCCCTTGAGAGTGTCACGGTTTGAGGAGAGCGTCGTTGAAGTCGCTGAGCCGACCTTGGTAGTACATTTGCAGAGCATGCTTATAATCAGACTTGGACAATGCTAGGGTTCGGTTTTTGTTTTTTTCCAAGACTGGGTCTCTGTTGCCCAGTCTTGAGTGGGGTGGTGGCACCAATCCAAGCTGGATTTCTTGGGCTCAAGTGGTCCTCTCTTTATTTAGAGGTGGAATTTCACTCTGTCACCCAGGCTGGAGTGCAGTGGCTGGATCTCCAATCACCACAACTCCCACCTCCCATGTTTCAGTGATTTTTCACCTTGGCCTTGCAAGTAGCTGGTATTACAAGTGCCCACCACCACACCCTGCCAATTTTTGTATTTTTAGGTGAGAAGGGGTTTCTCCATGTTGGCCAGGCTGGTGTCAACTCCTGACCTCACGTGATCCACCTGCCTTGGCCTCCCAAAGTGCTGGGATTACATGCATGAGCCACCATGTCCAGCCTGAACTGGTCCTCTTGAGTCACCCTTTCAAGTAGAAGGGACTACATGGGGTGTGCCACCACACTTGGCTCAGTTGTCCATTTTTGGTAGGATGGGGTCTCTTTTGCCCAGGTTAGTCTCAACTTCTGAGCTTAAGTGATCCTAAATGGGTGAGCCCTCTTGTCCTGATGACTCCTTTCAAAGATAGGTGACAGGGCCAGCATCCTGGGGCACACAGAGTCCCAGTTACCGTAAAGACTGGGGTGTAAGGGTTCTTTCTTTGAATTCAAGGCTATAGCAGGCACTGATCAGATCTTTGAGTAGTCACTGCACTCCAGCCTGGGCCAACATAGCAAGATCCCATCTTTTTAAAATAGATTACAAGGCCGGGTGTGGTGGCTCACACCTGTAATCTCAGCACTTTGGGAGGCCGTGGCAGACGGATCACCGGAGGCTAGGAGTTCGAGACCAGCCTGACCAACATGGAGAAAACCTGAAAAATCCAAAATTAGCCAGGTGTGGTGGTGCACGCCTGTAATCCCAGCTTCTTGGGAGGCTGAGGCAGGAGAATCCCTAGAACCCGATAGGCAGAGGTTGCAGTGAGCCAAGATCGCGTCACTGCCGTCCACCCTGGGTGACAAACTGAGACTCTTTCTCAAAAAATAAAAATTAAAAAAAAGAGTAAGTAAACCTCCGCATCTATCCAGTGTATTCTGTAATCCCCAGTGGATGTCAATATCAATAAAATTTTCTTCTTTTTCCTATTTATTTGTGTCTTTTCAGTTTAGTGTTATTGTCCCTGACACTGAAAATGTTTTCCTCCAACAACTTAACCATCATTTCTCAGACCTACTTGTTCTGCAGGAAAGGGTAGTTGATCCAGGCCTCACCCACTAATGCCAACCCCAGGGAGTTCTTCTGACTGCAGCTGCACTGGTTATCCTAGTCCACCATCTCATGACCATTCCACTGGGCAAAACCTCGCATCTAAATGCCAGTTGCTTGGTAAGATGTGAAATGTTGGCTGTGGCTAATATAAGAAACCTATTGTAGGCAAGGCGAACCTCAGCCACGGTGATAAATGTTGCATGGGACAAAACCACAGACAGTTCCACAAAAACCTGGAGGACCCTAGAAGGGGCTCCCTAGTAACAGGTGGGATACACGGCAGCTCTTCTTGTCACCGTAGGGAACGATGCCTCTTCCTCAAGCACTCAACCCCTTTCATGCCATAGAAGTTTTACCTGTACTGGTTTATAGAACACGATCTGGGTTGAGGTAGAGTTGAAGGGGACCTCATTGTCCCTTGAAGATGGAACATGGCACTACTTAGCAAAAGCACGGAGCGTTTGAGTTTTTATTGGGTAAATAAAGCTGAAATGTAGGGTGCATGACCACGTCATGAATGCACAGTGGGCTGGGCGTGGTGGCTCACGCCTGTAATCCCAGCTCTTTGGGAGGCGGAGGCGGGTGGATCACCTGAGGTCGGGAGTTTGAGACCAACCTGACCAACATGGAGAAACCCCGTCTCTACTAAAACTACAAAATTAGCCAGGTATGGTGGCACATACCTGTAATCCCAGCTATTCGGGAGGCTGATGCAGGAGAATCACTTGAACCCAAGAGGCAGAGGTTGTGATGAGGCGAGATCACGCATTGCACTTCAGCCTGGGCAACAACAGCGAAACTTTGTCTCAAAAAGAAAGAAAAATAAAAACACAAAATAAAAATACAGAAATTAGCTGAGCATGGTGGCATGTGCCTGTAGTCCCAGGTATGCAAGAGGCTGAGGCTAGGCTTGAACTCGGAAGGCTGCAGTGAGCTGAGATCGCACCACTGCCCTCCAGCCTGGGCGATAGAGCGAGGGTGGCTCAAAAGGAATGAATAAATTAATGCGCTCTTGATTTAATTTTTGCATATCCAAGATGGGGGTTTCGCTACCGCCCAGGCTAAACTGGAGTCTGTTTCTTCTCCCTCCCTAGTAGCTGGGACTACAGCTGAACATTTAAATCATGCACAGCCAAGAAGAGAGCAAGGCATGTACTTTGGTTCAATTTTAACAGTATCGCTCCATCACCCAAACTGGAGTGCACTAATGTGATCTCTGCCTCCTGAGTTGAAGCGATCTGTATTCGTTTTGAGACAGAGGCTCAGTCTGTCACCCAGGCTTGTGGGCAGTGGCACAATCTTGGCTCACTGCAGTGTCTGCCTCCAAGGTTCCAGTAATTCTCCTGCCTTGGCCTCCAGAGTAGCTGGGATTACAGCTGCCCGCCACCACGCCCGGCTAATTTTTAATTTTATTTTTAGTAGAGACGGGGTTTCACCTTGTTGGCCAAGCTGGTCTCGAACTCCTGACCTCAGGTGATCCACCTGCCTCAGCCTCCCAAAGTGCTGGGATTACAGGCGTGAGCCACTGCACCCGGCCTGTTTTTGTTTTGTTTTTTCTTTTTTTTTTTTTTTAAGAGTCAGAGTCTCATTCTGTCCCCCAGGCTGGAGAGAAGTGGCCCAGTCTCAGCTCACTGCAACTTCTGCCTCCAGAGTAGCTGGGATTTCAGGTGTGTGCCACCACCCGTTGGCCAATTTCGTTTTCCTCTTTTTTTTTTTTTTTTTTTTTATTAACAGGCTGGGTTTTACCATGTTGGCCAGGCTGATGTGGAAATCCTGACCTCAGGTGACCAACCCAACTTCACCTCTGAAAGTGCTGGCATTACAGACATGGCCACCGTGCCTGACCCTGTCTCTGACTTTGATGAACTGAGGAAGTAATCTTTTGAACTTTACTCTGAAATGTGAATTTTTTTAAGCATATTTGCCACCACCAACACTCTCGTTTGGAGAATTTTCGTCATCACCCCACAGAGGCTTATGCCCATGTGCCGTCAGTTCCCTCCCCACTGTTCCGCCCAGACCCTGGTAGCCTCTCCGCATCTCTCTAGCTCTGGATCTGCTGCTTGTGGGCATGTCACATAGACCAGTCTTGAATGGGTGGCCTGTTGAGGATAATAGGTGGTCCTGGCTGTCTGCAGTGTGAATCTTATCCCTGAAGGGTGGTCCCTGGAGGGGAGCAGGAGGCTGGGAGAACTGGGCAGAACATCTTTTGGGAAGGGAGTGGGGTGGACAGAGCCTGAGGTCTGGGAAGCTCACAAGGTGGCAAACCCCATGTTCCTCCCTGAGAACTGCGAGGTGACCCCCCTGGGGCCCTGGAAGGACTGAAGGCATCTGGACTGGGAACACCAGGGCACTGCAGCAGTGCAGGCAGGATGAGCCGGGGGGAAAGGAGAGCCAGGCAGCCGGCTGGGGACAGTTTGGGGTTTGGGTTTGATCTGGAAGGAGCAGGTGTGTACTGGGAGAGAGCTCCTGGGATTTTTTGCTCTTCTCCCCCCACTTTTTTTTTATTTATGGATTTTCACTCTTGTCACCCATGCTGGAGTGCAATGGCATGATATCAGCTCCCAGCAACCTCTGCCTCCCAGGTTCAAGCGATTCTCTTGCCTCAGCCTTCTGAGTAGCTGGAATTACAGGTGCCCGCCGTCATGCCTGGCTCACTGTATTTAATAGAGACTGGGTGTCACCATGTAGGCCATGCTGGTCTCGAACTCCTGACCTCTGGTGATCGACCTGCCTCGGTGTCCCAAAGTCCTGGGATTACAGGCATGAGCCACCACACCTGACCCGTATTTCCTAATTTTAAATATAGGGCCCATCCGTCATGAATTTGGGTGTGGCTTCATGCAGCGGGCATGGTAATCTCTATCCTTGCAATTTTTCAAATGTGTGCTGCCAAAGCAATCATTTCTGTATAGGAATTACTCTTCATTTGAGGATACAATATATAGAACTTTCTTTATTTAAGGCAGGGTATCAAAAATGTGTGATGTACATTTTATCGTATCATGTTTTATGGATAATATGGTCATATACACACGAATTACTCTACACAGAGAATACTCATCACTTCTCCCTTTTTTTTTTTTAAACATGGGGTTTCTCCATGATGGTCAGGCTGGTCTTAAACTCCTGACCTCAGGTGATCCACCCACCTCGGCCTCCCAAAGTGCTAGGATTACAGGTGTGAGCCACCACGCCCAGCCACTTTTGCATTTTTTGTGCCCTTTTTTCGTTTTCTGTTTTTTAAACAAGGTCTGGGACTCTTGCCCATTCTGGAATGCAGTGGTACAGTCTCTACTCACTGCCACCTCCACCTCTCACCTCAGCCTTCTGAATAGCTGTCTACAGGGACATACCCCCTGCCATCTGGCTACCTTTTGTATTTTTACAGATGAGGGTTCACCATGTTTCCCAGGTTCATCTCTAACTCCTGAGCATAAGTGATCCTCCTGTTTTGGCCTGCTTGGGTGCTGTGATTGGAGATGTGAGTTACTATGCCCCACCTGCCCTTATATATTTCTGTTCAAATATTATTGAAGAGCTTTTGTGGACTAACCTGTGCTGTATCCTGGTGGATGTTTGTGTGTATGACGATTTATATTCCTCAGCATTTTAGATTCCATTTTGGATGCTCCCATCTGGACTTGTGTCCCTGTGCTGGAACTAAGTGACCACTTGCCTCAACGTCCATTGCTGTTCTCTTCAAATCCAGACCCATTCTCTTGGTTACGTATAAGGTATGTCTAGTGAGCATTGCTTTTTCTCTTTGGAGACAAAACTCTGCAGGATTGCCCTTTGGTGAACAAAACTAACCTGCTGAATCCTTGAAGGAAGGAATTGGAGAGGGTTCTTTAAGGGGTTTGTATTCCTGATTCCAGAAAACAGGCAAACAGGGCTAATCCTAATCAATGCATCTTTACTTTTGTGTCCATTTTAACCTGCTCAAGGAAAGTTTCAATAAGAAACCCAGAGTGCTGGAGCAAGAAGATCTCGGGCGGCGATTCTTTAGAGGGATGCACTTTTTGTTGACTTGAAAGAAAGAAGGTGCGTCTCTTTAGAGGATTACTGTTTGAGAAAAGCAACATTGAGGTCTATGCTGATCTCGATACATTTGGATACATTTGCAGAGGTCCTTATCATCAGACTTGGACAATAGTGTGCTTTTTTTGGTTTTGCTAGGATTACAGGCATGCACTACCACACCCGGCTAACTTTGTATTTTTAGTAGAGAGGGGGTTTCATCAGTTGGTCAGGCTCACCTTGAACTCCTGACCTCAGTGATCCACCCGCCTCAGCCTCCCGAAGTGCTGGGGTTACAGGTGTGAGCCACCGTGCCCAGCCACTTGGCTAACTGTTGTAGTTTTTGTACAGATGGGATTGTACCATGTTGCCCGAGCTGGCCTCCAATTCCTGAGCTCATGCAGTCCTCCTGCCTCAGCCTCCTAAAGTGATAGGACTAGAGGTGTGAGCCACCGTGCCACACCCAGACTTGTGTATTTATTTTTTTTTGGGGGGGGCAAGGGGGATAGCACCTTGGCATTCAATTGTGGAGTGACTGAACAGCACCAGGGACTGTAGTAAGTAGCAGAATTATAATGATGAGAACATCATTTCCTGCCCTTGCTTAGTAAAGAGAAAGTGAGAAATAATTCGTGACGATACACGGGGTCATAAGACAGAGGCGTACAAGAGAGTCACCCAGCGTAGCCACGCTGGAGGCTGAGGGAAGATCAGGGAGACCCCAGAAATCAGTTTTAAAGGATAAATCAAGGAGGAAAAGAGACGGGGAGCTGAAAGGAAAGCCATGAAGAGGATTTCCTTTTTTTTTTTTTTTTAAGAAAAAAAAAAAGGAGAAAAGGAGAGGAAGAAAGAGGAAGAAAAAGAGGGAGAGAGAACAAGAATATTGCTTTATTCTAAAAATGGGTATTAATAATGGCCGATCAATATTTTGTGTATTTAAAGTGGAGAATGTATATTTTGTATATTTAAAGTGGAGAGCTCTATAAATATTTATTAAGTTTACTTGTTTTGGATCTGAGTTCAAGTCCTGGATATCCTTATTAATTTTCTGTCTCATCGAGTCTAAATCTTTTTATGAGTCTTACGTATCTGGGTGTTAGGATCGTTAGCTCTTACTGTTGCACTGATCCTTTTACCACTATATCTTTGTTGCTTTGAAATCTATTTTATCAATTTTTTTTTTTGTTTTGAGATGGAGTCTCCCTCTATCCCAGACTGGAGTGTAGTGGCCCAATCTCAGTTGACTGCCACCTCCTCCTCCTGGGTCCAAGTGATTCTCCTGCCTCAGCCTCCTGAGTAGCCGAGATTATAGGCACCCATCACTGCATCTGGCTAATTTTTTGAATTTTTAACAGAGACAGGGTTTTGCCATGTTGGCCAGGCTGGTTTTGAACTCCTGACCTAAAATGATGTACCTGACTGTGCCTCCCAAAGTGCTGGAATTATAGGCATGAGCCACTGCCCTCGGCCTTGTGTATTTGGGTTCAAATTCTGCTGAGGAACTTTTATGGCCTAGCCTGTGGTCTATGCTGGAGGACGTTTGTGTATATAACAATGTATATTCTTTTTTTTTTTTTTTTTTTTTTTTTGAGACGGAGTTTCTCTCTTGTTACCCAGGCTGGAGTGCAATGGCACGATCTCGGCTCACCGCAATCTCCGCCTCCTGGGTTCAGGCAATTCTCCTGCCTCAGCCTCCCGAGCAGCTGGGATTACAGGCACGTGCCATCATGCCCAGCTAATTTTTTGTAATTTTAGTAGAGACGGGGTTTCACCATGTTGACCAAGATGGTCTCGATCTGTTGACCTCATGATCCACCCGCCTCGGCCTCCCAAAGTGCTGGGATTAGAGGCTTGAGCCACCGCGCCCGGCCAACAATGTATATTCTTTAACATCTTAGATTCCATTTGGGTCCTTTCCTAAGGACTGTGTGTGTCCCTGTGCTGGAACTCAAGTGAACACTTGGCTCAACATCCATCGCTGTTCTTGGGAAATGCAGGCCAGTCTCTTCATTAAATATGAGGTATGTCCAAGAGACATTGCTTTTTCACTCTGGGGACAGAATTCAGGAGGATTTGCCTTGTGGGGAAGCGAGGAACTGGAGATGGGCCTCTTAAGGGTTTATGTTCTAGATTCCAGAAACGTTCAACAGAAATCTTCAAAAGAAAACCCAGAGTGCTGGAGCGAGATCTCACGCTGTGACCCTCTAAAGGGAAGCGCTTTCTGTTGTCCAAAAGAAACGAATGCGTCTTCCTTTAGAGTGTTACCGTCTGAGAAAAGCAGCGCTGAAGCTGAGGCTGATCATCCTGGTAATACATTTGCAGGGCATGCCTGTAATCAGACGTGGATGATGTTGGGTTTCTATTTTTGTTTTGTTTTTTTTCCAAGGCAGGGTAGGGTCTCTGTTGCCCAGCCTGGAGCGCGTGGCACTTCCAGTGAGATTTCTTGAGCTCAAGTGGTCCTCTTTATTTTCTTATTTTTGAGGTGCACTCTGGCTTCGTTGCCCATGCTGGAGTGCAGTGGCGGGATATCTGCTCACTAGAAAGTCCTCCTCCCAGGTTATTGGGATTCTTACCCCTCAGTCTGCCAAGTAGTTGGGATTACAGGGGACCATCATCACGCCCTGCTCCCTTTTTTTTTTTTTAATTTTCGATTTTTAGACCGAGTTTACCTCTTGTTGCCCAAGCTGGAGTGCAAAGGCACAATCTCAGCTCACTGCAACCTCTGCCTCCCAGGTTCAAGCAATTCTCCTGCCTCAGCCTCCCAGGTAGCTGTGATTAGAGGCCCTCATCACCACACCCAACTAAATTTTGTACTTTTAGTAAAGATGGGGTTTCACTGTGTTGGCGAGGCTGGGTTCCAAGTCCCGACCTCAGCTGCTTTTCCCACCTCACCTTCCCAAAATGCTGGGATTACAGGCGTGTGAGCCACCACGCCAAGCCTGAAGTGGTCCTCTTGAGTCAGCCTAGCCTGTGGTCTATGCTGGAGGGCGTTTGTGTGTGTGACAATGTATGTTCTTCAACATCTTACATTCCATTTTGTTTGCTCCCATCAGGACTGATGTCCGTGTGCTGGAACCCAGGTGAACACTTGGCTCAAAATCCTTTGCTGTTCTCTAGGAATTCAGCCTAATTCTCGTGGTTAAAGATAAGGTATGACTAGTGGACATTGCTTTCTCTCTCTGACAGCAAAACTCAGGAGGATTGCTCTGCGGCGAACAAGGCTAACCTGCTGAGCCTTTGAAGCCAGGGACTGCAGATGGCCCCTTTAGGGGTGTATGTTCTGGATTCCAGAAAACATGCAAACAGGGGCAATAAATGCATCTTTATTTTTGTGTCCAGTTTAACCTGGTCAAGGAAAATTTCAAGGCAAACTTAGAGTGCTGGAGCAAGAAGATTCCATGCTGTGACCCTTTAAAGGGAAGCGCTTTTTGTTGTCTGAAAGGAACCAAAGGCCTTCCCTTTAGAGTGTTACCGTTTGAGAAAAACACCGTTGAAGTTGATGCTGATCTTGGTAATACATATGCAGAGCACGCTTAGAGTCAGACTTAGCTCTGCCTCTGGGGTTGAAATGATTCTCCTGACTCAGCCTCCCCAGTAGATGGAATTGCCGACACCACGCCCCGCTACTTTTCTGGTGCAAGTGGTCCTCTGTTTTTATTTAGGAGAGGTGGGTTTTCACCATGTTGGATAGAGTGGTCTCAAACCCCTGACCCCAAGTGAGCCACTCACCTCAGCCTGGCAAAGTGCTGAGAATACAGGGATGAGCCCCCGCCTGCAGCCGTCAACACCTTTGGCTGCATGTGTAGAAATTCTTCTATGAGCGGAACTTTCTTTGAGATAAGGTCTCAAAAATATGTGGTGTATATTTCATCATATATTCTTATCATTTATATCCGTTAATCATATACACACAAAATACTCTTCTAAATACATAGAATACTCTGATATCACCTTGAGTATTTCTTTGTTTCGGGGAGTGTGTGTGTGTGTGCGCGTGTGTGTGTGTGTGTGTGTGTTTGTGTGTGTGGTTGCTTATTTTTGAGACTAGGTCTGGCTCTGTCGCCCAGGCTGGAGTGCAGTGGTGAGATCTCGGCTCACTGTGACCTGTGCCTCCCACCGAAGCCTGCTGAATTAGCATCTGCAGGCATGCACCACCACAGCTGGCTAACTCTTGTATTCCTTGTACACATGGGGTTGCACCATGTTGCCAGGGCTGGTCTTGAACTGCTGAGCTCAGGTGATCCCTCCTAAAGTGCTGGGATTAGAGGTCTCAGTCAGCCGTGGCCTACCCGTACTTCTGTATTTCTGTTCAGATGTTACTGGGGACTTTTTATGACCTAGCCTGTGGTCTGTTCTGGAGAGTATTTGTGTGTATGACACGTATATTCTTCAACATTGTAGACTCCGTTATGGATGCTTCCATAGAGACGGTGTGTCCCTGTGCTGGAGCTCAGGTGAACACTTGGCTCAACATCCATCGCTCTTCTCTAGAAATCCTGTGCAGTTCTCTTGGTTACATATAAGGTACGTGTAGTAGGCATCGCTTTTTCTTTCCGGAGATGAAAGTCAGGCGGATTGCCCCATGATAGACAAACCTAACCTGCTGATGCTTTGAATCCACAGGAGGTGGTCCTGCTGATCCCTAGGGGTGCTCCTTCCAGGGGTTCGTATTCCGGCTTCCAGGAAATATGCAAGCAGGGTAAATAAATGCATCTTTATTTTCGTGTCTGTTTTGACCTGGTCAAGGAAAATTCAAACAGAAAATCCACAGTGGTGGAGCAGGAAGATCTCAGGCGGTGGTCTTCTGGAGGAAGAGGCACTTTCTGTTTTCTGAAAGAAAAGAAAGTGCTTTCCTTTAGAAGGTTACTCCTTGAGAAAAGCAACGTTGAAGTTGATGCTGATCTTGGTAATATGTTTGCAGAGAATGCTGTTAATCAGATGTGGATGATGTTGGGGTTTTGTGTGTGTGTGTTTGTTTTTTCTAAGATAGGGTGTTCTGTTCCCTGGGCTGGAGTGGGTGGCACTTCCAACCTAGATCTCTTGAGCTCAAGTGGCCCTCTTTTTGTGACAGAGTCTTGTTCTTGACCCAGGCTGGAATGCAGTGGCAGGAATTTGGCTCACTGCCACCTCTGCCCCCTGAGTTCAAGTGCTTCTTCTGCCTCAGCCTCCTGAGCCACGGGGATTATAGGAATGTGCCACCATGCCCGGATAATTTTTGCATTTTTATTATTTATTTATTTATTTGCTTACTTAACGTTTGAGACAGAGTCTCCTGTCGCCCAAGCTGGAGTAAAGTGGCGCACTCTCGGCTCACTGCAACCTCCACCTCCCACCTCAGCCTCCTGAGTAGATGTCTGCAGGCATGCACCCCCACACCTGACTAACTTTTGCCCTTTTTGTAGAGAGGAACCCCTGAACTTAAGTGATCTTTCCACCTGGGCCCCCTACACTGCTGTGATTAGTGGTATGTGCCACCATGCCCCATGCTTCCTTGTGTGTTTCTGCTACAATTTTATGGAGGAGCTTTTATGGCGTAGCCTGTGGTCTATCCTGGAGACTGTTGGTGTGCGCCACAATATATACTTTTCAACGCCTTAGATTGCATTCTGGGTGCTTCCATCGGAACTGTGTGTCCTGTACGGGAACTCAGGTCAACGCTTGGCTCAAAGTCTATTGCTGTTCTCTAGAAATCCTGCCTAGTCTTCTTGAGCAAATATAAGGTATTATCTAGTAAGCATTGGCTTTTCTTTCTAGATACAAAACTCGGGAGGATTGCCCCTTGATGTACAAAGCTAACCTGCTCAGCCTCTGAAGCAAGGAACTGGGCATTGTCCTTTTAAGGGTTTATGTTCTGGATTCCCGAAGACATGGAAACAGGGCCAATAAATGCATCTTCGTTTTTGTGTCCAGTTTAACCGGGTCAGGGAAAATTTCAATAGGAAACCCAGAGTGCTGGAGCGAGATCTCACGCTGTGACCCTCTAAAGGGAAACGCTTTCTGTTGTCTAAAAGAAACGAATGCGTCTTCCTTTAGAGTGTTACCGTCTGAGAAAAGCAGCGCTGAAGCTGATGCTGATCTTGGTAGTACATTTACAGAGCACGCTAATAGTCAGACTTGGATGAGGTTGGGGTTCTAGTTTTGCTTTTTTTTTATTATTACTATTTTTTACTTGAAAGTCAGTTGGAATTACCAGCCAGCATGCTTTTTTTTTTTTTTTTTTTAAAGGCAGGGTCTCGGTTGCCCAGGCTGGAGTGCTTGGCACTTCCAGCGAGATCTCTAGGGCACAAGTGGTCCCCTTTTTATTTTTTTATTTTATGAGACGCACTCTGACTCTGTTGCCCAGGCTGGAGTGCAGAGGCTGGAACTGTGCCTCCTGGGTTTCAGGGATTCTCCCACGTCAGCCTGACCTAATAGTGGGGAATACAGGTGACCGTCGTCACGCCCTGCTAATTTTTTAAAATTTTATTATTTTTAGACCAAATTTTCCTCTTGTTGTCCAAGCTGGAGTGCAAAGGCACAATCTCAGCTCTCTGCAACCTCTGCCTCCCAGGTTCAAGCAATTCTGCTGCCTTAGCCTCCCAGGTAGCTGTGATTAGAGACCCTCACCACCACACCCAGCTAAATTTTGTACTTTTAGTAGAGATGGGGTTTCACTGTGTTGGCGAGGCTGGGTTCCAAGTCCCGACCCCAGCTGCTTTTCCCACCTCACCTTCCCAAAATGCTGGGATTACAGGCGTGTGAGCCACCACGCCAAGCCTGAAGTGGTCCTCTTGAGTCAGCCTAGCCTGTGGTCTATGCTGGAGGGCGTTTGTGTGTGTGACAATGTATGTTCTTCAACATCTTACATTCCATTTTGTTTGCTCCCATCAGGACTGATGTCCGTGTGCTGGAACCCAGGTGAACACTTGGCTCAAAATCCTTTGCTGTTCTCCAGGAATTCAGCCTAATTCTCTGGTTAAAGATAAGGTATGACCTAGCGGACATTGCTTTCTCTCTCTGACAGCAAAACTCAGGAGGATTGCTCTGCGGCGAACAAGGCTAACCTGCTGAGCCTTTGAAGCCAGGGACTGCAGATGGCCCCTTTAGGGGTGTATGTTCTGGATTCCAGAAAACATGCAAACAGGGGCAATAAATGCATCTTTATTTTTGTGTCCAGTTTAACCTGGTCAAGGAAAATTTCAAGGCAAACTTAGAGTGCTGGAGCAAGAAGATTCCATGCTGTGACCCTTTAAAGGGAAGCGCTTTTTGTTGTCTGAAAGGAACCAAAGGCCTTCCCTTTAGAGTGTTACCGTTTGAGAAAAACACCGTTGAAGTTGATGCTGATCTTGGTAATACATATGCAGAGCACGCTTAGAGTCAGGCTTAGCTCTGCCTCTGGGGTACAGATGAGCCTCAGCCTCCGCAGTAGCTGGAATTACAGGTGCCCACCACCACGCCCGGCTACTTTTGTGTATTTATATATACATATATATATGTATGTGTATATATATATATATATATATATATATGTGTGTGTGTGTGTGTGTGTGTGTGTATACACACACACACACACACACACACACAGTTTTTTAATAGGAAAGACAGGTTTTCACCATGTTGGTCAGATTGGTCTCAAACCCCTGACCTCAAGTGAGCCGCTTGCCTCGGCCTGGCAAAGCGCTGAGAATACAGGTGTGAGCCCCACCTGCCGCCATCATCACCTTTAAGTCCACGTGTAGGAATTATTCTTCCCTGAGCATACAATATACGGAAGTGTCTTTGAATCAAAGTCTCAAATATCTATGATAGCTATTTCATCATATATCCTCATATACATCATATAATCATATAAACACAAAATACTCTTCTAAATACATAGAATACTCTGATATCACCTTGAGTATTTTTTTTGTTTCAGGGTGTGTGTGTGTGTGTGTGTTTGTGTGTGTGCACGTGTGCATACGTGTGTGTGTGTGTTTGTGTGTGTGGTTGCTTATTTTTGAGACTAGGTCTGGCTCTGTCGCCCAGGCTGGAGTGCAGTGGTGAGATCTCGGCTCACTGTGACCTGTGCCTCCCACCGAAGCCTGCTGAATTAGCATCTGCAGGCATGCACCACCACAGCTGGCTAACTCTTGTATTCCTTGTACACATGGGGTTGCACCACGTTGCCAGGGCTGGTCTTGAACTGCTGAGCTCAGGTGATCCCTCCTAAAGTGCTGGGATTAGAGGTCTCAGTCAGCCGTGGCCTACCCGTACTTCTGTATTTCTGTTCAGATGTTACTGGGGACTTTTTATGACCTAGCCTGTGGTCTGTTCTGGAGAGTATTTGTGTGTATGACACGTATATTCTTCAACATTGTAGACTCCGTTATGGATGCTTCCATAGAGACGGTGTGTCCCTGTGCTGGAGCTCAGGTGAACACTTGGCTCAACATCCAACGCTCTTCTCTAGAAATCCTGTGCCGTTCTCTTGGTTACATATAAGGTACGTGTAGTAGGCATCGCTTTTTCTTTCCGGAGACGAAAGTCAGGCGGATTGCCCCATGATAGACAATCCTAACCTGCTGATGCTTTGAATCCACAGGAGGTGGTCCTGCTGATCCCTAGGGGTGCTCCTTCCAGGGGTTCGTATTCCGGCTTCCAGGATATATGCAAGCAGGGTAAATAAATGCATCTTTATTTTTGTGTCTGTTTTGACCTGGTCAAGGAAAATTCAAACAGAAAATCCACAGTGGTGGAGCAGGAATATCTCAGGCGGTGGTCTTCTGGAGGAAGAGGCACTTTCTGTTTTCTGAAAGAAAAGAAAGTGCTTTCCTTTAGAAGGTTACTCCTTGAGAAAAGCAACGTTGAAGTTGATGCTGATCTTGGTAATACGTTTGCAGAGAATGCTGATAACACACATCAGATGTGGATGATGTTGGGCTTTTGTGTTTGTTTGTTTGCTGTTTTCTAAGACAGGGTGTCTGTTTCCCCGGGCTGGAGTGCGGTGGCACTTCCAACCTAGATCTCTTGAGCTCAAGTGGCCCTCTTTTTGTGACAGAGTCTTGTTCTTGACCCAGGCTGGAATGCAGTGGCAGGAATTTGGCTCACTGCCACCTCTGCCTCCTGAGTTCAAGTGATTCTTCTGCCTCAGCCTCCCGAACCATTGGGGTTATTAGAAATGTGCCACCATTTTGCATTTGTATTATTTATTTACTTATTTGCTTATTTACTTTTGAGACAGGCTGGAGTGCAGTGGTGCAGTCTCAGCTCACTGCAGCCTCCAACTCCTACCTCCTCCTCCTCTTGAAAAGCTGTCTGCATGCACCACCACAGCTGACTAACTTTTACCTCTTTTGTACAGATGAGGTTTCACTATGTTTCCCAGGCAGGCCTCGAACCCGTGAGCTCAACTGATCTTTCCACCTGGGCCCCCTACACTGCTGTGATTAGTGGTATGCGCCACCATGCCCCATGCTTGCTTGTGTGTTTCTGCTACAATTTTATGGAGGAGCTTTTATGGCGTAGCCTGTGGTCTATCCTGGAGAATGTGGTGTGAGCCACAATATATACTTTTCCACATCTTAGATTGCATTCTGGATGCTTCCATCGGAACTGTGTGTCCCGTACGGGAACTCAGGTGAACGCTTGGCTCAAAGTCTATTGCTGTTCCCTAGAAATCCTGCCTAATTTTCTTGGGGCAAATATAAGGTATTTCTAGTAAGCACTGGTTTTTCTTTCTAGATACAAAACTCAGGAGGATTGCCCCTTGATGAAGAAGGCTAAACCTGCTGAACCTTTGAAGGATGGGACCTGGAGATAATCCATTTAGGGGTTGATGTCGCGGATTTCAGGAAACACGCAAACAGCGCAGGTAATTGCATGTTTCTCTTTGTGTCTATTGGAACCTCATCAAGAAAGATCCCAACAAAACGGTGCTGGAGCTAGGAGATGTCAGGCTGTGACGCTCTAAATGGAAGCACTTTCTTTTGTCTGAAAAAAAGAAACTGCCTTCAATTAGAGTGTTACGGTTTGAGAAGGGCAACATTGAAGTCGATGCGGATCCTGGTCAGACGTTTGCAGAGATGGTTACCATCAGATTTGGACAGTGGTGCGGTTCTGTTTTGGTTGTGTTGTTTTTTCTAAGACAGGGTCTCTGTCGCCCAGACTAGAGTACCGTGGTGCAATCTTGACTCACTGCAACCTCCGCCTCCTAGGTTCAAGTGATCCTCCTGCCTCAGCCTCTGGAGTAGCTGGGATTACAGATGCCCACCACAACACCCAGCTAATTTTTGTATTTTTAGCAGAGACGAGATTTTGCCCTGTTGGCCAGGGTGGTCTTGAACTCCTGACCTCAGGTATCAACCCGCCTTGGCCTCCCAAAGTGCTGGGATTATACACGTGAGCCACTGCTCCTGGCCAGCGTTTGAGTTTTTATTGAGTAAATGAAACTGAAGTGCAGATGCATGACTAGGTCATAAATGCACAGTTAATTTAATTTTTTTATTTTAGAGACAGTGGTCTTCCTATGCCCCTTAGGTTAAACTAGGCTTTAGAGATTTTCCTGCCTCTGCCCCTCCCCACTTTCTTGTACCTGGGACACCAGGTGAACATATTATCATAGATGCAACCACCACCACTGTAGTTTGGAGATTTTCATCACCCCAGAGAGGCTTATGCCCATGTGCAGTCGCTGCCCTCCCCACTCCTCCACCCAGACCCTGGCAGCCTCTCTGCATCTCTCTAGCTCTCGATCTGCCTCTTGCGGGCATGTCACATAGACCAATCTTGAATGGGTGGCCTGCTGAGGATAATGGGTGGTCCTGGCTGTCTGCAGTGTGAATCTTATCCCTGAAGGGTGGTCCCTGGAGGGAAGCAGGAGGCTGGGAGAACTGGGCAGAACATCCTTTGGGAAGGGAGTAGGGTGGGCAGAGCCTGAGGTCTGGGAAGCTCACAAGGTGTCAAACCCCATGTTCCTCCCTGAGAACTGCGAGGTGACCCCCCTGGGGTCCTGGAAGGAGTGAAGGCATCAGGACTGGGAACAGCAGGCCACTGAGTGGTGCAGGCAGGATGAGCCAAGGGGAGAGGAGAGCCAGGCATGGCTAACCTCGGACAGTTTGGGTTTGATCTGGTTGGAGCCCCTGTCTTCTGGGAGGGAGCCCCTGGGATTTTCACTCTGCCTCTGGCTGTCTTTCAGTCATGGAATCTGATGACAAAGCGTCCCACCCAGGGCCACTTCATTTGGTTTCTGGAACCCATTGATCCTTCCTGCCTGGAGCTGGGATCTTTTGAGGAAGTTTGAGATCTGGCCGGGCGTCTGGAGAATCATAGAAACCCCTAACAATCCCTTCCCTTTGCTGACATCTCTGCGTTCCTGCCTATTACCTTCCAAAGGAGACCCTTAACTGAATTACCAAAGGGGGCTTTCCAGGGCGGGGGTAAATTTGTATTTCAGATAAACAATGTATTTGAGATGTGATTGAATTAGAAATCGTTGACTGTTTAGGTGTGGGCATTCATTTTTTCTAATTTTATTTATTTTTTTGTTGAGGCGGAGTTTTACCCTCGTCACCGAGGCTGGAGTGCAATGGCGTGAATCTGGGCTCACTGCAACCGCTGCCTCCCGAGTTCAAGTGATTTTCCTGTTTCAGCCTCTAGAGTCGCTGGGATTACAGGTGAGCACGACCACGCCCAGTTAATTTTTGTATTATCAGTGGAGATGGGGTTTCGTCACGTTGACCAGGATGGTCTCCATCTCTTGACCTCGTCATCTGCCCACCTCAGCCTTTCAAAGTGTTGGGATTACAGACGTGAGCCACCATGCCAAGTCTTTTTTTTTTTTTTTGTATATAGGATATGTAGTAGAGATGGGGTTTCGCTACGTTGGTCAGTCTGGTTTCAAACTTCTGACCTCAGGTGATACAGCCACCTCCACCTCCCAAAGTGTTGGGATTGCAGGTGTGAGTCACACTACTGAGCCCTTCGTATCTGCGTTCAGAATTTACTGAGGAAGTTTTTTTTTTTTTTTTTTTTGAGACGGAGTATCGCTCTTGTTACCCAGGCTGGAGTGCAATGGCGCAATCTCGGCTCACCGCAACCTCCGCCCCCTGGGTTCAGGCAATTCTTCTGCCTCAGCCTCCTGAGTAGCTGGGATTACAGGCACGCGCCACCGTGCCCAGCTAATTTTTTGTAATTTTTAGTAGAGACGGGGTTTCACCATGTTGACCAGGATGGTCTCGATCTGTTGACCTCGTGATCCACCCGCCTCGGCCTCCCAAAGTGCTGGGATTACAGGCTGAGGAAGTTTTACGACCTAGCCTGTGGTCTGTCCTGGAGGGCGTTTGTGTGTGTAACAATGTATCTCCTTCAGTATCTCAGATTCCATTTTGGATGCTTCCATAAGGACCGTGTCCCTGTGCTGGAACTCAAGCGCACACTGGCTCCAAATCCAGTGCTCCTCTCTTGAAATCCAGCCAGTGCTCATGCTTACATGTAAGGTATGTCTAGAAGGCTTTGCTCTTTGGGAACAAAACTCAGGCTTGCGCTCTGATGAACAAGGCTAATCTGCCGAGCCTTTAGAGCAACGAATTGGAGATGGTCCTTTCAGGGGTTTGCGTTCTGGATTCCAGAAAATGTGCAAACAGGGACAGTAAATGCATCTATATTTCTGTGTCCAGTGTAACCTGGTCAGGGGAAATTCCAACAGAAAACCCGGAGCGCTAGAAGATCTCAAGCTACGATCCTCTAAAGGGAAGCACGTTCTGTTGTCTGAGAGATAAGCACGTGCCTTCCTTTAGGGGGTCACTGTTTGAGAAAAGCAACGTTGACGTTGCTGCTGACCTTGGTGATGCATTTGCAGAGCATGCTTATAGTCAGACGTGGATGATGTTAGGGTTCGGTTTCTATTTTGTTTTTTTTCAAGGTAGGGTCTCTGTTGCCCAGGCTGGAGTGGGTGGCACTTTCAGCGAGATCCCTGGAACTCCAGTGGTTCTGTTTTTATTTTGTTTATTTTTTGAGATGCACTTTCACTCTGTTGCCCAGGCTGGAGTACAGTGGCAGGATCTCTGCTTACCGGATACTCCACCTGCCAGGTTCCAGGGATTCTCCCACCTCTGCCTGCCCAATAGTTGGGAATACAGGCACCTGCCATCATGCCTTGATAATTTTTTTTTTTTTTTTGAGTCTGAGTTTTGCTCCTGTTGCCCAGTCTGGGGTGCAATGGTGTGATCTCATCTCGCCGCTACCTCCACCACTCGGGTTCAAGCAATTCTCCCTGCTTCAGCCTCCCAGGTAGCAGGGATTACAGGCACCCATGACCACACCCACCTACTTCTTGTGTTTTTAGTAGAGATTGGGTTTGACCATGTTGGCAAGGGTGGTCTAGAACTCACGACCTCAGGTGATCCACCAACCTTGTCCTTCCAGAGTGCTAGGATTACAGACACAAGCCACCATGCCTAGCCTCAAGTGATCCTCTTGAGTTAGCTTAGACTGTGGTCCATGCTGGAGGATGTTTTTTGGTTTTTTTTTTTTGAGACGGAGTTTCGCTCTTGTTACCCAGGCTGGAGTGCAATGGCACGATCTCGGCTCACTTCAACCTCCACCTCCTGGGTTCAAGCAATTATCCTGCGTCAGCCTCCCGAGTAGCTGGGACTACAGGTGCCCGCCACCATGCCCAGCTAATTTTTGTATTTTTAGTAGAGACGGGGTTTCACCATGCTGACCAGGATGGTCTCAATCACTTGACCTTGTGATCCACCCACCTCGGCCTCCCAAAGTGCTGGGATTATAGGCATGAGCCACTGCGCCCGGCCCATGGTGGAGGATGTTTGTGTGTGTGACAGCTCATATTCTTCAACATCTTAGATTCCATTTTGGTTGATCCCGTTTGGACTGTGTGTCACTGTGCTGGAGCTCACGTGAACACTTGGCTCAGTATTCGTTGCTGTTCTATAGAAATCCAGCCCAATTCTCTCAGTTAAAGATAAGGTATATCTAGTTGGCATTGTTTTTTCTCTTTGGGGACAAAATTCAGGAGGATTGCCCCTTGGTGAACAAAGCTAACCTGCTGAGCCTCTGAAGCAAGGAACTGGAGAGGGTCCTTTTAGGGGTTTCTGTTCTGGATTGTAGGAAACACGCAAGCAGGGCCAAAAAATGCATCTTTCTTTTTGTGTTCATTTTAAACTGGTGAAGGAAAATGCCAACAAAATGCCCAGAGTGCTGGAGCAAGAAGGTCTCATGCTGTGACCCTCTAAAGGGACGTGCGTTCTGTTGTGTGAAAGGAAACACACGCCATCCCTTTGGAGTGTTACCGCTTGAGAAAAGCAACGTTGAAGTTGATGCTGATCTTGGTGATGCATATGCAGAGCACGCTTTTAATCAACTTGGACGACGTGAAGTTTCTGTTTTGTTTTTGTTGTCTAAGACAGGGTCTCTGTTGCCCAGCGTGGAGTGTGGTGGCACTTCCGCCCTAGGTCTCTTGGGCTCAAATGCTCCTCTGTTTTGAAACAGAGCCTTGCTCTGTGACCCAGCCTGGAGTACAGTGGCAGGATCTTGGCTCATTGCAACCTCCGCCTGCTGGGTTCAAGTCATTCTACTGCCTCAGCTGTCTCAGTAGCTGGAATTACAGGCACCCGACGTATGTCCAGCAAATAATTGAATTTTTGTTTTTTGTTTATTTAATTTTTGAGACGTCTCGCTGTCACCCAGGCTGGAGGGGAGTGGCATGATCCTGGCTGACTGCAACCTGTGCCTCTCAGGTTCAAGTGTTTCTCCTGCCTCAACCTCCAGAGTAGCTGGAATTACAGGTGCCAGTCACCACACTCGGCTACATTTTGTATTTTTATTTATTTATTTATTTGTTTTAGAGTAGAGACTTGGTTTCACCATGTTGGCCAGGCTGGTCTCAAACCCCTGACCTCAAGTGAGCCACTCATCTCAGCGTCCAAAGTGCTCAGAATGCAGTTTTGAGCCAGCACCCGTGGCCATCAACACATTTTGCTCCATGGAAATTATTTTAGCACTGGGTTATGGACCCTCACTTGGGGTCAGGTAGAGTTAAAGGGGACCTCAGTGTCCCCTGAACAAGGGATGTGGATTGTTCAGCAAAAGCACAGAGGTGGAATGCGTGGGGTTTCACCGTTCATTGGGTAAATGAAGCTGAAATCTTGGGTGGGTGACTAGGAGATATGTGCATGACACGTGTGTCTCACTGTACTGTCCCGGCTAAACTAGGGGTTAGATCCTTCTGCCTCTGCCCCTCCCCCATCCTTCATAGATGGGAACACATGTAAATATTAACCCATGCACAGGCAAGAGGAAAGGAAGGACTGTTCCTTGGTTCATGCCCCACCCCCAGTTAGATTTGTAGTTTAGACGAACAATGTATTTGAGATGTACGTGAATAACAAGTGACTTCCTGTTTAGGTGTGGACGAAGTCTCGCTCTGTCGCCAGGCTGGAGCACAATGGCGAGATCTCAGCCTATCGCAACCTCCACCTCCCAGGTTGAAGCGATTTTCCTGTCTCAGCTTCCAGAGTAGCTGAAACTACAGGTGGGTAACACGCCCAGCTAACATGTTTTTTAGTCGAGACGGGGTTTCACCATGTTGGCCAGGATGCTTTCGATCTTGACCTGGTGATTTGCCCAACTTGGCCTCCCAAAGTGCTGGGACTGTAGACATGAGCAACTCCACCTTGCCAAATGTTTTATATTTATGAGAATCGGGGTTTTGCTATGTTGACGGTTGGTTTTGAACCCTTGACCTCCAGTGATGTGTTTGCCTACGCCTTCCAGAGTGGTTACAGGCGTGAGCCACCAGGCTTGGCCTTATGTATTTCTGTTGAAAATTTATTCAGTAACGTTTATGCGTGGCCTGTGGTCTATGCTGGAGGATGTTCGTGTGTACGACGATGTATGTTCTTCAACATCTTAGCTTCCATTTTGGATGCTTCCATAGAGACAGTGTGTCCCTGTGCTGGAACTCAAGTGAACACTTGGCTCTAAATCCATTGTCGTTCTCTAGAAATCCAGCCCAATTCTCTTGGTTAAAGATAAGATATGTCTAGTTGCCATTACATTTTCTCTTCGGGGACAAAACTCATAAAGATTGTTCCCTGATGAACAAGGCTTAAGCTGCTGAGCCTTTGAAGGAAGGAACTAGAGATGCTCCTTCTAGAGGTTTATGTTCTGGATTCCAGGAAACATGCAAACGGCCAATAAATGCATCCGTATATTTGTGTCCATTTTAACCTGGTCAGGGGAAATTCCAACAAAAATCCCAGACTGCTGGAGCAAGATCTCATACTGTGACCCTCCAAAGGGAAGTCCTTTCTGTTTTCTGGAAAGAAAGAAATGCCTTCCCTTTAGAGTGTTACCGTTTGAGAAAAGCAACGTTGAAGCTGATGCTGAATTTTATAATACATTTGCAGAGCACGCCTGTAGTCAGACTTGATGTCGAGGTTCTGTTTTGTTTTTGTTTTCTAAGACAGGGTCTGTGTTGCCCAGGCTCGAGTAGAGTGTCACCTCCAACCTGGGTCTCTTGGGCTCAAATGGTCCTCTTTCTTGGGTCATAGTCTTGCTCTGTTACCGAGCCTGGAGTGTGGTGGCATGATCTTGTCATTGCAACCTCTGCCTCCCGGGTTCAAGTGATTCTCCTGCCTCAGCTTCTTGAGTAGCTGGGAATACAGGCATCTGACACATGCCCAACTAATATATGTATTTTTGCTTTTATTTATTTATTTATTTATTTATGAGTCAATGAATGAATGAGATGGAGTCGCGCCATCACCCAGGCTGGAGGCCGGTGGCACGATCCCGGCTGACTGCAACCTCTGCTTCTCAGGTTCAATTAATTCTCCTAACTCAACCACCAGAGTAGGTGACATTGCAAGTGCCCATCACCATGCCCGGCTACTTCTTGTATTTTTATTTGTTTGTTTGTGTAGCAGAGACCAGATTTCACCATGGTGGCCAGGCTGGTCTCAAGCCCCTGACCTCAAGTGAGCCACTCACCTCGACTTGCCAAAGTGTTGAGAATACAGGTGTGAGCCACCGCCTGTGGCCATCAACATTTTTTACTCCAGGGAAATTATTCTGGCACTGGTTTACAGAACCTCCCTTGGGCTCAGGTAGAGTTGGAGGGGACCTCAGTGTCCCTTTTTTTTTTTTTTTCCGAGACGGAGTTTCGTTCTCGTTACTCAGTCTGGAGTGCAATGGCGCGATCTCGGCTCACCGCAACCTCCGCCTCCTGGGTTCAGGCGATTCTCCTGCCTCAGCCTCCCGATCAGCTGGGATTACAGGCACGTGCCACCATGCCCAGCTAATTTTTTGTATTTTTAGTAGAGACGGGGTTTCACCATGCTGACCAGGATGGTGTCGATCTCTTGACCTCGTGATCCACCCGCCTCGGCCTCCCAAAGTGCTGGGATTACAGGCTTGAGCCACCGTGCCCAGCAGTGTCCCTTGAAGAAGGGATGTGGACTGCAAGAGCACAGAGGTGGAATGCATGAGGTTTTAGTATTTACTGGATAAATCTTGGGTGCATGACCAGGAGATAAATGCATGAAATGGGGGTCTTGCTATGCTGCCCAGGCTAAACTAGGGTTAGATTCTCCTGCCTCCACCCTCTCCCATCTTGCGTAGATGGGAACACATGTTAATATGAACCTATGCCGAGGCAAGAAGAAAGAAAGGACTGTTCTTTGATTCATGCCCCACCCCCAGTGAAATGTGTGTTTTAGATAAATAATGTATTTGCGATATACTTGAACAACAAATGACTTCTTGTTTAGGTGTGGATGAAATCTTGCGCTGTTGTCAGGCTGGAGTGCAATGGCGGGATCTCAGCTTATTACAGCCTCCGCCTCCCAGGTTCAAGCCATTCTCCTGCCTCAGCCTCCCGAGGAGCTGAAACTACAGGTGCGCACCACTATGCCGAGCTAATTTTTGTATTTTTAGTAGAAACATGGTTTCACTATGTTGTCCACGATGGTCTCCACGTCTCAACCTTGTGATTCACTCACTTGGGCCTCCCAAAGTGTTGGGATTACAGGCATCAGCCACCGAGTCCAGCCGATTATTTTGTATTTAGTATAGGGGGTCTCAGTACGTTAACCAGGTCGGATTACAGCTTCTGACCTCAAGTGATGCGTTCGCCTCCGCCTTCCACAGTGTGGTGAACAGGTGTGAGCCATCATCCCGGTCTTGTGTATTTCGGTTCAAAATGTACTCAGAATCTTTTATGCTTAGCTTGTGGTCTATACCGGAGGATGTTTGTGTGTATGACAATGTATATTCTTCAACATCTTAGATTCCATTTTGGATACTTTCAGAGAGACGGGATGTCCCTGTACTGGAACTCGGGTGAACACTTGGCTCAAAATCTATTGCTGTTCTCTAGAAAATCAGGCAATGCTTATGGGTAAAGATAATGTATGTCTAGTAGGCATTCCTTTTTCTCTTTGGAAACAAAACTCAGGAGCATGAGCCACTTTATGAATAAGGCTAACCTGCTGAGCCTTTGGAACAGTGACCAAAGGATGGTTCTCTTAGGTGTTCGTGTTCTGAATTCCAGAAAACGTGCAAACAGGGCCAAAGATGCAGATGAACGCATCTTTATTTTTGTGTCCAGCTTAATGCGGTCAAGGAGACTTCCAACAAGAAACCCCAGAGTCCTGGAGCAAGAAGCTCCTGTGCTGTGACACTCCAGTGGGATGTGCTTTCTGTTGTCAGAAAGAAAAGGGGGAGGGCCAGTGGGAGGGGGAGGTGGGGAGGGATAGCCTGGGGAGAAATGCCAAATGTGGGTGAAGGGGAGAAGAAAAGCAAAGCACACTGCCATGTGTGTACCTACGCAACTGTCTTGCATGCTCTGCTCATGTACCCCAAAACCTATAATCCAATAAAAAATTAAAAAAAAAAAAAAAAAAAAGAAAAAACACACGTCCTTTTAGCTGGTCGCTATTTGAGAAGAGCAGCGTGGAAGTTGATGCCGACGTTGGTCATACGTCTGCAGAGCGTGCTTACGATGAGACGTGGGTGATGGTGAGGTTCTGTTTTTGCTGTTTTTCCAAGACAGAGTCTCTGTGCTGAGCCTAGAGTGGCTGGCACTTCCAGTGAGATCTCTAGAGCTCAAGTGGTTTATTGATTGATTTATTTATTGAAACCCACTCTGGCTTCGTTGCCCAGGCTCGAGTGCAGTGGCAGGATCTCTGCTCACCAGAAGCTCCACCTCCCAGGTTCTAGGGATTCTCCCACCTCAGCCTGCTCTGAATAGTTGGAAACATGGGAAGCTGCCATCACGCCCAGCTATTTATTTATTTTTTTTTTTTTGAGATGGAGTTTTGCTCTTGTTGCTCAGGCTGGAGTCCAGTGGTGTGATCTTGTGTCACTGGGAGCACCCAGGTTCCAGCAATTCTCCTGCCTTAGCCTCCCAAGTAGCTGGGATTACAGGTACCCACCACCACACCCAACAACTTTTTGTGTTTTTAGTAGAGATGGGGTTTCCCCATGTTGGCCAGGGTGGTCTCAAATTCACAACCTCAGGTGATCCACCAACGTTGCAAAGTGCTGGGATGACAGGCGTGAGCCGCCATACGCAGCATCAGGTAGTCCTCTTGAGTCAGGTCTATGCTGGAGGATGTTTGTGTGTGCCAAAATGTATATTATTCAACATTTTCTATTTTGGTGGCTTTCATTGGGACTGTGTGTCCCTGCACTGAAGCTCAAGTGAACACTTGGCTCAACATCCATTGCTGTTCTCTAGAAATCCAGCCCAATTCTCTTGATTAAAGATAAGGTATGCCTAGTGGGCATTGCTTTTTCTCTTTGGGGGACAAAACTCAGAAAGATTGCTTTCTGATGAACAAGGCTAACGTGCTGAGCCTTTGAATCAAGGTACTAGAGATGGTCCTTTAAGGGGTTTGTGTTCTGCCTTCTAGAAAACGTGCAGACAGGGTCAATAAATGCATCTTTGTTTTTGTGTCTGTTTTAACCTGGTGAAGGGAAATTCCAACAAAAATCCCAGAGTCTTGGAGCAAGAAGATCCCAAACCATGACCCTCCAAAGGGAAGTGCTTTCTGTTGTGGGAAAAATACCAAGGCCTTCCCTTTAGAGTGTTACCGTTGGAGAAAAGCAACATTGAAATTGATGCTGATGTTGGTAATACATTTGCAGAGCATGCATATAATCACACTTGGATGATGTTGAGTTTCTGTTCTGTTTTTGTTTCCTAAGATAGTGTCTTTGTTGTCTAGAGTGTGGTGGCACCTCCAATGTAGGCCCTTTGGGCTCAAATGGTCCTGTTTTATTGGACAGAGTCTTGTTCTGTGACCCAGACTGGAGGGCAGTGCCAGGACTCCACTCACTGTGACCTGTGCCTCCTGGGTTCAAGTGATTCTCCTATCTCAGCTTTCCAAATAGCTGGGATTTCATGCACCCACCACAATACCTGGCCAATATTCATAGTTTTATATAGAATTCATTTATATGTTTCTTTTTGAGACGAGTCCTGCTGTTGTCCAGGCTGGAGAGCAGTGACATGATCCCGGCTGAATGCAACCTCTGCCTCTGAGGTTCAATTAATTCTCCTGCCACAACCCCTAGAGTAGCTGGAATTACAGGCACCTGCCATCATGCCAGCTACTTTTTTTTTTTTTTTTTAAGGAGACTGGTTTTCACCCTGTTGGCCAGGGTGGTCTCAAACCCCTGACCTCAAGTGAGCCGCTTGCCTCGACCTCCCAAAGTGCTGAGAATACAGGTGTGAGTCATTGCTCATGGCCATTAACACCTTTTCCTCCATGGAAATTATTTTACGTTGGTTCATAGAACTTACTTGAAGTCAGGTAGAGTTGGAGGGGACCTCAGTGTCCTTTTGGTGGGATGCAGACTGCTTAGCAAGAGCATAGAGGTGGAATGCATGAGGTTTCAGTATTCATTGGATAAATGACCTGAAATCTTGGGTTGTGACCAGGAGATAAATGTGGGAGACGGGGGTCTCACTATGCTGTCCAGGCTAAGCTAGGGTTCTGTCCCCCTGCATCTGCCCCTCCCTCATCCTTCATAGATGGGAACACATGTGAATATTAACTCATGCACGGGGGAGATGAAAGTAAGGACTGTTTTTTGGTTCATGCCCCACCCCCAGTTAAATTTTTGTTTTAGATAAACAATGTATTTGATATGTACCTGAACAGCAAATGATTTCCTGTTTAGGTGTGGACAAAGTCTCACTCTCTGGCCAGGCTGGAGTGAAATGGCGTGACCTCAGGTAATTGTAACCTCCTCTTTCCAGGTTAAAGCGATTCTCCTATCTCAGTCTCCCGAGTAGCTGAAACTACAGGTGTGTACCACCATACCCTGCTAATTTTTGTATTTTTAGTAGAGATGGGGTTTCACCATGTTGGCCAGGATGGTCTCGAACTCTTGACCTCATGATTCACCCACCTTGGCCTCCGAAAGTGATTTGCTCACCTTGGCCTCCCAATGTGCTGGGATTACAGGTAAGATCCCCTGCCCCTGGCCAAATTTTTTATATTTGTATTAGAGACGGGGTTTTGTCATGTTAACCAGACTGGTTTTGAACCCCTGACCTCAGGTTATGTGTCTGCCTCTGCCCTCCAAATTATGGCTATTACAGGCATGAGCCAAGGTGCCCAGCCTTGTGTATTCTATTCAACATTTATTCAGAAACTTTTATGCCTAGCCTGCGGTTCATATAGGAGGGTGTTTGTGTGTACAACAGTGCATATCCTTCAACATCTTAGATTCCATTTTGGATGCTCCCATAGAGACGGGGTGTCCCTGTGCTGGAACTCAAGGGAACACTTGGCTCGGAATCCATCGCTCTTTACCAGAAATTCAGCCCAGTTCTCATGGTTAAAGATAAGGTGTGTGTAGTGGGTGCTGCTTTCTTGCTTTGGGAACAAAACTCAGGAGCATCGCCCTGTGATGAGCAAGGCTGACCTGCTGAGCCTTTGAAACAGTGAAGAAAAGATGGCACTTCTAGGTGTTTATGTTCCGGATTCCAGACGACGTGCAAACAGGGCCAAAGAGGCAGACGAATGCATCTTTATATTTTTTTATCTACAGTTTAACCTGGTCAAGGAAATTTCAACAGAGCATCCAGCGTCCTGGAGCAAGAAGATCCCAAACTGTGATCCTCCAAAGGGAAGTGTTTTCTGTTTTCTGAAATGAAAGAGACCCCTTCCCTTTAGAGTGTTACCGTTTGAGAAGAGCAACGTTGAAGTCGATGCCAATTTTGATGATACTTTGCAGTGCATTCTTAGAATTGGACCTGGATGATGTTGTCGCTCTGTTTTGATATTGCTTTCTAAAGAAGGTCTTTGTTGCCTAGGCTGGAGTACAGTAACACTTCCAGCGTCCGTCTCTGAGGCTCAGATGATTCTTTTTTTTCGGACAGAGGCTTGTTCTGTGACGTAGGTTGGAGTGTAGTGCCATGACTCCGCTCAGTGTAACCTCTGCCTCCTGGGTTCAGTCTCCTGTCTCAGCTTTCCAAGTAGCTGAAATTTCAGGTGCCCAGTGGCACACCTGGCTAATATTTGTAGGGTTTTTTTTTTTTTTTTTTTGGTAATGCATATATTTATTTATTTTTGCCACAGTCTGGAGGGCAGTGGCACGGTCCTAGCAGACTGCAACCTCTGATTCTCGGATTCTATTAATTTTCCTGCCTCAACTTCCAGAATAGCTGGAATTACAGGTGCCCACAACCATGCCCAGCTACCACTGTATGTGTTTTTTTTTTACCTAGTGGAGACTGGATTTCACCGTGTTGGCCAGGTTGGTCTCAAACCCCTGACCTCAAGTGAGCCACTTGCCTCAGCCTCCCGAAATGCTGAGAATACAGATGTGGGCCACCACCCATGGCCGTCAACAATTTTTACTCCGTGGAAATTATTTTGGCACTGGTTTATAGAACCTCCTTTGGGCTCAGGTAGAGTCAGAGGGGGCCTCAACGTCCCTTCAAGAAGGGATGTGGACTGCATAGAAAGAGCATAGAGTGGAATGCATGGGGCTTCAGTGTTTATTGGGTAAATGAAGCTGAAATCTTGGGTACATCACCAGGAGGTAAATGCGGGAGACAGCGGTCTAGCTATGCTGCCCGGGCTAAACTGGGGTTAGGTCCTCCTGCCTCTGCCGCCACCATCTTGGTATTTGGGAACACATGTGAATATGAACTCACGCACAGGCGAGAAGAAAGGAAGGACTGTTCTTTGGTTCATGCCCCACCTTCAGTTAAATTTGTACATTAGATAACTAACGTAGTTTAGATGTACTTGAACAACAAATGCTTTCCTGTTGAGGTGTGAATGAAGTCTTCCTCTGTCGCCAGGCTGGAGTGCAATAGCACAATCTCAGCTTAGTGCAACCTCCACCTCCCAGGTTCAAGCGGTTCTCCTGCCTCAGACTCCCGAGTAGCTGAAACTACAGGTGCGCACCATCATACCCAGTTCATTTTTGTATTTTTAGTAGAGATGAGGTTTCACCATGTTGGCCAGGATGGTCTCCATCTCTTGACCTTCTGATTCATCCATTTGGCCTGCCAGAGTGCTGGGATTACAGGCATGAGCCACTGCACCTGGCCAAATTTTTTGTATTTTTAGTAGAGATGGTGTTTTGTCATGTTAACTGGTTTTAACTCCTGACCTCAGGTAATGCATCTACATCCACCTTCCAAGTGCAACGATTACAGGCATGAGCCACCATGCCTGGCCATGTGTATTTCTGTTCAACATTTATTCAGTAACGTTTATGCATAGCCTGTGGTCTCTAGTGGAGGATGTTCGTGTGTACCACAGTGTATGTTCTTCAGCATCTTCGCTTCCATTTTGGATGCTTCCATAGAGACGGTGTGTCCTCGTGCTGGAACTCAAGGGAACCCGTGGCTCAAAATCCATTGCTCTTCTCTAGAAATCCAGCCCAATTCTCATGTTTATATGTAAGGTATGGCTAGCGGACATTACTTTTTCTCTTTGGGACAAATTCAGGATCATTGCCCTTTGACGAGCAAGGCTAACCTGCCGAGCCTCTGAAGCAATGAAGAAAAGATGGTCTTTTTAGGTGTTTATGTTCCTGATTCCTGAAAATGTGCAAACAGAACCAAAGATGCAGATGAATCCATCTTTATTTTGTGTCCAGTTTAACCTGGTCACGGGAAATTCCACAGTCGTGGAGCAAGAAGCTCCTATGCTGTGACACTGTAGAGGGCTGTGCTTTCTGTTGTTGGCAGGAAAAGGAGGCACATGCTTTTAGGTGGTTACTGTTTGAGAAAAGCAACACTGAAGTTGATGCTGATGTCGGCAATACATTTGCAGAGCATGCTGATAATCAGACTTGGATGATGGGATTTTGTTTTTATGTTGTGTGTTGTTGTTTTTTTTTAAGACACTGTCTCTGTTGCCCAGGGTGGAGTAGGTGGCACATCCAGCGAGATCTCCAGGGCTCAGGTGGTCCCCTCTGTTTTTTTATTTTTTGAGACCCTCTGTGTCTTTGTTGCACAGGCTGGAGTGCAGTGGCAGGATCTCTGCTCACTGGAAGCTCCACTATCCAGGTTCCACGGATTCTGCCATCTCAGCCTGCCAAATAGTTGGGATTACAGGCACCTGCCATCACTCCCTTCTTCTTCCCCCCCCCCACCCCGGAGATGGAGTTTTGCTCTTGTTGCCCAGGCTAGAGTGCAATGGCATGATCTTGTCTCACCGCTATCACCTGGGTTCAAGCAATTCCACTGCCTTCGCCTCCCAGGTAGCTGGGATTACAGGCACCCACTACCACATCCACCTTCTTTTTGTGTTTTTATTAGAGATGGGGTTTCACCATATTGGCCAGGCCGGTCTCGAATTCATAACCTCGGGTGATCCACTAACCTTGGCCTTCCAAGGTGCTGGGATTACAGGCGTGTGAGCTACCACGCCTAGCCTCAAGTTGTCCTCTTACGTCAGACTAGACCTTGGTCTAGTGGAGGGTGTTTGTGTGGGCCAAAATGTATATTCTTCAACATCTTAGATTCCATTTTGGTTGTTCCCATCAGGACTGTGTGTCCCTGTGCTGAAGCTCAAGTGAACGCTTGGCTCAACATCCATTGCTGTCCTCTAGAAATCCGGCCCAATTCTCATGCTTACATGTAAGGTATGTCTAGGTGACATTGCTTTATCTCTTTGGGGACACAACTCAGAAAGATTGCCTTCTGATGAACAAGGCTAACCTGCTGAGCCTTTGAAGTAAGGAACTAGAGATGGTCCCTGTAGGGGTTTATGCTCTGGCTTCTAGAAAATGTGCAAACAGGGTCAATAAATGCATGTTTATTTTTGTGTTCATTTTAACCTGGTGAAGGGAAATTCCCACAAATACCCTGGAGTCCTGGAGCAAGATGATCGCAGGCTGTGACCCTCTAAAGGGAGGTGCTTTCTGTTGTCTGGAAAGAAAGAGACGCCTTCCCTTTAGAGTGTTACCGTTTGAGAAAAGCAACGTTGAAGTTGATGCTGAATTTTATAATACATTTGCAGAGCATGCCTATAATCAGACTTGATGTTGAGATTCTGTTTTGTTGTTGTTTTCTAAGACAGAGTCTGTGTTGCCCAGGCTGGAGTAGAATGGCACTTTTTTTTTTTTTTTTTTTTATAAAGACGGGGTTTCACCGTGTTGGTCTGGCTGGTCTTGAACTCCCGACCTCAGGTGATCTGCCCGCCTTGGCCTCCAAAGTGCTTGGATTACAGGCGTGAGCCACCACTCCCGGCCCTACAGTGGCACTTTCAACCTACGCCTCTTGTGCTCAAATGGTCCTCTTTTTTGGGGGCAGAGTCTTAGCTCTGTGACCGAGCCTGGAGTGCGGTGGCGTGATCTTGGTCATTGCAATGTTCGCCTCCCGGGTTCGAGTGATTTTCCTGCCTCAGCTTCTTGAGTAGCTGGGAATACAGGCACCTGAATACTATATGTATTTTTGTTATTTATTTATTTATTTTTGAGATGGAGTCTCAGTGCCGCCCAGGCTGGAGGCCGGTGGCACGATCCCGGCTGACTGCAACCTCTGCTTCTCAGATTCAATTAATTCTCCTGCCTCAACCACCAGAGTAGGTGCAATTACAAGCACCCATCACCATGCCTGGCTACTTTTTGTATTTTTGTTTGTTTGCGTAGCAGAGACTGGGTTTCACCATCTTGGCCAGGCTGATCTCACACCGCTGACCTCAAATAAGCTACTCACCTGGGCTTCTCAAAGCGTTGAAAACGCAGGTGTGAGCCACCGCCGTCAACACCTTTTACTCTATGGAAATTACTTTTGCTCTGGTTTATAGAACCTCCCTTGGGGTCAGGTAGACTTGGAGAAAATCCCAGTGTCCCTTGAAGAAGGGGTGCGGACTGCTTATCGAGAGCACAGATGTGGAATGCATGGAGTTTCAGGGTTTATTGGGTAAAGGAAGCTGAAATCTGGGGTACATGAGATGGGGTTCTCACTATACTGCCCAGGCTAAACTAGGCATAGTTCCTTCTGCCTCTGCCCCTCCCCATTTTTGGTAGCCGGGAACACGTGAATATTAACCCATGCATTGTTCTTCAGTTCATGCCTTACCCCCCCCCCCCCCGTTAAATCTATATTTTAGATGAACAATCTATTTGAAATGTAGTTGATGAAGAAATGATTTGCTGTTTAGGTATGGATGAAGTCCTGCTCTGTCGCCAGGCTGGAGTGCAATGGAGTGATCCCTGCTTATTGCAACTTAGGCCTCCCAGGTTCAAGCAACTCTCCTGCCTCAGGCTTCCAAGTAGCTGAAACTGCAGGTGCTTGCCACCGTGCCCAGCTAATGATTGTATTTTCAGTAGTGACAGGGTTTTGCCATGTTGGCCAGGATGGTTTCGATCTCTTGACCTCGTGATTCACCCATTTCCGCCTCTTAAAGTGCTGGGATTATAGTCAGCAGCCACAGAACCCAGTCAGATGTTTTGTATTTTTAGTACAGTTGGAATTTCGCCACGTTAACCAGGCTGGTTTTGAACTCCTGACCTCAGGTCATGCATCCCCCTTTGCTTTCCAAAAATGCGGCGATTACAGGGGTGAGCCTTTGTGCCTGGCCTTGTGTATTTCTGTTCAACATTTATTCAGAAACCTTTATGCCTAGCCTGTGGTGTATACTGGAGGATGTTTGTGTGTACAGCAATGTAGATTCTTCAACATCTTAGATTCCATTATGGATGCTTCCATAGAGACGGTGTGCCCTGTGCTGGAATGCAAATGCACACTTGGCTCAAAAGCCATTGCTCTTTCTGGAAATTCTGCCCAATTCTCATGGTTAAAGATAAGGTATGTCTAGTGGGCATTACTTTTTCTTTTTGGAAACGAAACTTGGGAGCATTGCCCTTTGATGAATAAGGCTAATGTGCTGAGCCTTTGAACTAATGAAAAAAAGATGGTCCCTTTAGGTATTCATGTTCTGGGTTCCAGAAAACTTGCAAACAGCACCAAAGATGCAAATGAATGCATCTTTATTTTTCATTCCATTTTAACCTGGTCAGGGGAAATTCCCACAAAATCCCAGAGTGCTGGAGCAAGAAGATCTCATGCTGTGACCCTCTAAACGGAAGTGCTTTCTGTCCTCTGAGACAAAAACAAAGGCCTTCCCTTTAGAGTGTTACCATTTGAGAAAAGCAACGTTGAAGTCGATGCTGATATTGGGAATACATTTGCAGAGCATGCCTGTAGTCAGACTTGGGTGATGTTGAGGTTTTGTTTTGTTTTTGTTTTCTAAGAGACAGTCTGTGTTGCCCAGACGGGAGTATAGTGGCACTTCCAACCTGTGTCTCTTCAGCTCTAATAGTCCTTTTTTTTCTGAACAGAATCTTGCTCTGTGACCCGGGCTGGAACGCAGTGCCAGGGCTTGGCTCACTGCAACCTCTGCCTCCTGCGGTCAGGAGCTCCTGTCTCAACATTCCAAGTATCTGGGATTACAATCACTCAGTGCAACACCTGGCTAATATTTGTAGTTTTTTTTTGTGATTCATTTATTTATTTTGGAGTTGGAGTATCGCCGTCGCCCAGGCTGCGTAGCAGCGGCATGATCCTGGCTGACTGCAAACTCTGAATTCTCCTGCCTCAACCTCCAGAGTAGCTGGGATTACAGGCACCTGCCACCAAGCCCAGCTACTTTTTAAAATTAATTTTTTAGTTTTAGTGGAGATTGGTTTTCACGCTATTGGCCAGACTGGTCTCAAATCCCTGACCCCATGAGAACCACTTGCCTCGGCCTCCCAAACTGCTGAGAATACAGGTGTGAGCCAATGCACGTGGCCATCAACACCTTTAACTCCATGGAAATTACTGTGGCAATGGTTTATACAACCTTGGGGTCAGGTGGAGTTGGAGGGGACCTCAGTTTCCCTTGAAGAAGGGATGTGGACTGCTTATCAAGAGCACAGAGGTGGAATGCATAGACTTTTAGTGTTTATTGGGTAAATGAAGCTGAAATCTTGAGCGCCTGATCAGGAGATAAATGCATGAGACCGGGGTCTCAGTATGCTGCCCAGGGTAAACTAGGGTTTAGGTCATCCTGCCTATGCCCCTCCCATGTACATGGGAACACGTGAATACTAACCCATGCACAGGCAACAAGAAAAGAAGGACTGTTCTTTGGTTTACACCCCACTCCCAGTTCAATTTGTGTTTTAGATAAACATTGTATTTGAGATATGCTTGAATATCAAATGATTTCCTGTTTCGGAGTGGATGATATCTTGCTGTCACCAGGCTGGAGTGCAATGGTGTGATCTCAGCTTACCGTAGCCTGTGCCTCCCAGGTTCAAGCGATTCTCTTGCCTCACCCTACAGAGTAGCTGAATCTAGAGGCACCCACCACCAAAGCCAGCTAATTTTTGTATTTTAGTAGAGATGGAGTTTCACCATGTTGGCCAGGATGGTCTCGATCTCTCGACCTCATGATTGGCCCACCTTGTCCTCCCAAAGTGCTGGGATTACAGGCGTGAGCCACTGCACCTGGCCAAATTTTTTGTATTTTTTGTAGACTCTGGGTTTCCTCATGTTAACCAGGCTGGTTTTGAACTCCTGACCTCAGGTGATGCGTCACCCTCTGCCTTCCAGTTGTGGCGTAAGCTGGATTGCAGGCATAAGCCAGCGTGCCCGGCCTTGTATATTTCTAGTCAACATTTGAATAGAAACTTTTATGCCTAGCCTGTGGTCTATACTGGCGGATGTTTGTGTGTACAACAATGTATACTCTTCAACGTCTTAGATTCCATTTTGGATGTGTCCGGATGCTTCCATAGGGACAGTGTGTCCCTGTGCTGGAACTCAAGTGAACCCTTGGCTCAAAATCCATTGCTCTTTTCTGGAAATCCTTCCCAATTCTCATGGATAAAAGTAAGGTAAGTCTAGTGGGCACTGCTTTTTCTCTTTGGGGACAAAACTCAGAAAGATTGCCCCTAAATACAAGGTCCTTTTAGGGGTTTATGTTCTAGATTCCAGAAAACATGCAAACATGGCCATTAAATGCATCTGTACTTTTGTGTCCATTTTCACCCGGGCAAAGGAAATTCCAACAAAAACCCCAGAGTGCTGGAGCAAGAAGATCCCATGCTGTGACCCTCTAAAGGGAGGTGCTTTCTGTTGTCTGGAAAGAAAGAGACGCCTTCCCTTTAGAGTGTTACCGTTTGAGAAAAGCAACGTTGACGTTGATTCTGAACTTGGTGATACATTTGCAGAGCACGCCTGTAGTCAGACTTGGATGATGTTGAGGTTCTGTTGTTTTTGTTTTCTAAGACATGGTGTCTGTTTCCCAGGCTGGAGTCCAGTGGCACTTCCAACCCAGGTCTCTTGTGCTCACATGGTCCTCTTTTTTGGGGCAGTCTTAGCTCTGTGACCGAGCCTGGAGTGTGGTGGTGCGATCTTAGTACATTGCAACCTCCCTCCTCCCGGGTTCAAGTGATTCTCCTGCCTCAGCTTCTTGAGTAGCTGGGAATACAGGCATCTGAAACGCCCAGCTAATATTTACATTTTATTTATTTGTTTATTTTTGAGACAGTCTCTCACTGTCGCTTAGGGTGGAGAGCAGTGGTACGATGCCGGCTGACTCCAGCCTCTGCTTCTTAGGTTCAATTAATCCTCCTGCCTCAACCACCTGAGTAGCTGAAATTACAAGCGCGCCTCACCATCCCCGGCTACTTTTTGCAGTGTTCTTTGTTTGTTTAGTAGAGACTGGGTTTTGCCATGTTTCCCAGGCTGGTCAAACCCCTTACCTCAAGTAAGCTGCTCGCCTTGGCTTCCCAAAGTGTTGGAAATACAGGTGTGACCCACTGTTCGTGGCCGTAACACCTTTTACTCGATGGAAATTATTCTAGCCCTGGTTGGCGGGGACCTCCGTGTCCCTTGAATATGGGATGTGGACGGCTTAGCAAGAGCACAGAGTGGAATGGATGGGGTTTCAGTGTTTTTTGGGTAAATGAAACTGAAATCTTGGGTACCTGATCAGGAGATAAATGCATGAAACGGGGGTCTTACCATGCTGCCCAGGCTAAAGTGAGTTTCGATTCTCCTGCCTCTGGCCCTCCCCTGTTTTAGGTGGCTGGAAACACATGTGAATAGTAACCCATGCAAGGCAAGAAGAAAGGAAGGACTGACTGCTCTTTGGTTCATGCCACCACCCCAGTTAAATTTGTATTATGGATTACAATGTGTCTGAGATGTAGGCGAACAGTTGATTTCCTGTTTAGGTGTGGACAAAGTCTCGCTCTGTTGCCAGGCTAGAGTGCAATGGGGGGATCTCAGCTTATTGCAACCTCTGCCTCCCAGGTTCAAGTGATCCTCCTGCCTCAGCCTCCGAGCAGCTGAAACTACAGGTATGTACCACCATGCCCAGCTCATGATGGTTTGTTTTTTTTTTGTTTTTGTTTTTGTTTTTGTTTTTTTTTTTTTGAGACGGACTTTTGCTCTTGTTACCCAGGCTGGAGTGCAATGGCGCGATCTCGGCTCACCGCAACCTCCGCCTCCTGGGTTCAGGCAATTCTCCCGCCTCAGCCTCCCGAATAGCTGGGATTATAGGCACGCGCCACCATGCCCAGCTAATTTTCTGTATTTTTAGTAGAGACGGGGTTTCACCATGCTGACCAGGATGGTCTTGATCTCTTGACCTCGTGATCCACCCGCCTCGGCCTCCCAAAGTGCTGGGATTACAGGCTTGAGACACCGCGCCCGGCCCATGATGGTATTTTTAGTAGAGACGGGATTACAGAATGTTGGCCGGGATGGTCTCGATGTCTTGACCTCGTGATTCACCCACCTTGGCCTCCTAAAGTGCTTTGATTATAGTTATCAGACACCGAGCCTGGCCCCTTTTTTTGTATTTTTAGTAGAGGCGGGGTTTCGCCATATTAACCAGGCTGGTTTTGAACTCCTGACCTTAGTTGATGCATCTGCCTCTGCTTTCCAAAATGCAGCAATCATATCATGCCCAGCCTCGTGTATTTCTGTTCAAAATTTATTCAGAAAGAAACATTTATGCTCTCCTGTGATCTATAGTGGAGGACGTTTGTGTGTAGGATAATGCATATTCTTCAACAATCTAGATTTCCTTTTGGATGCTTCCATAGAGACGGTACATCCCTGCGCTGGAACCCAAGTGCACACTTGGCTCAGAAGCCATTGCTCTTTTCTGGAAATCCTGCCCACTTATCGTGGTTAAAGATAAGGTATGTGTAGTGGGTATTACCTTTTCTCTTTGGGAACAAAACTCAGGTGCATTGCACTCTGATGAGCAAGGCTAGCGTGCTGAGCCTTTGAAGCAACAAAGAAAAGATGGTCCTTTTAGATGTTTCTGTTCTGGATTCCGGAAAATACGCAAACAGGGCCAAAGATGCAGATGAATGCATCCTTATTTTTATGGCCGGTTTAACATGGTCAAGGAAAATTCCAAGGAAAAAACCCAGAAACCCAGAACAATGGAGCAAGAAGCTCCTGTGGTGTGGCACTCCAGAGGGACTTTATGTGTTGTCTTTTTTTTTTTTTTTTTTGAGACGGAGTTTCGCTCTCGTTACCCAGGCTGGAGTGCAATGGCGCGATCTCGGCTCACTGCAACCTCCTCCTCCTGGGTCAAGCAATTCTCCTGCCTCAGCCTCTCAGGTAGCTGGGATTACAGGCACCCACCACCACGCCCAACTACTTTTTGTGTTGTTAGTATAGATGGGGTTTCACTGTGTTGGCGAGGCTGGTTTCAAAGTCACAACCTCAGGTGATCCACCATCTTTGTCCTTCCAAAGTGCTGGGATTACAGGTGTGAGCCATGCCTAGCCTCAAGTGGTCCTCTTGAGTCGGCCTAGACTGTGGTCAATGCTGGAGGATGATGGTGTGTGTGACAATGTATATTCTTGAACATCTTAGATTACATTTTGGTTTCTCCCATTGGGACTGTGTGTGCCCGTGTGGAGCTCAAGTGAACACTTGGCTCAACATCCATTGCTGTTCTCTAGAAATCCAGCCCAATTCTCTTGGTTAATGGTAAGGTATGTCTCGGTGGCATTGCTCTTGGGGACAAAACTCAGAAAGATTGGCTTCTGATGAACAACTCGAACCTGCTGAGCCTTTAAAGCAAGCAACTAGAGCGGGTCCTTTCAGGGGCTGATGTTCTGGATTCTAGAAAACATGCAAACCAGGCCGATAAACGTATCTTAATTTTGTGTCCATTTTAACCTGGTGAAGGGAAATTTCAACAAAACCCTGAGAGTGCTGGAGCAAGGTCTCATGCTGTGACCCTCCAAAGGGAGGTGCTTTCTGTTGTCCAAAAGAAAGAACGCCTTCCCTTTAGAGCGTTACCGTTTGAGAAGAGCAACGTTGAAGTTGAAGCTGATCTCGGTAATACATGTGCAGGGCACGCTTAGAGTCAGACATGGACGATGTCGAGGTGCTGTGTTGGTCTTGTTTTCTAAGACCGGGTCTGTGTTGCCCAGGCTGGGGTACAGTGGCACTTCCAACCTCGGTTTCTTGGCCTCAGATAGTCCTTTTTTTTCAGACAGAGTCTTGCTCTGTGATCTAGGCTGGAATGTAGTGCCAGGACTCTGCTCACTACAACCTCTGCCTCTGGGTTCTAGTGATTTTCCTATCTCAGCATTCCAGGTAGCTGGGATTTCAGGCACCCACCCCAACACCTGGCTAGTATTTGTAGTTCTTTTAATAATTTCATTTAAAAAATTTATTTATTTATTTTTATTTATTTTTTGAGAAGGAGTTTCGGTCTTGTTACCCAGGCTGGAGTGCAATGGCGCAATCTCGGCTCACCGCAACCTCTGCCTCCTGGGTTCAGGCAATTCTCCTGCCTCAGCCTCCCGAGTAGCTGGGATTACAGGCACGTGCCACTATGCCCAGCTAAATTTTTGTATTTTTAGTAGAGACAAGGTTTCACCATGTTGACCAGGATGGTCTCGATCTCTTGACTTCACGATCCACCCGCCTCGGCCTCCCAAAGTGTTTGGGGTTACAGGCGTGAGCCACCACGCCCGGCCGCTAATTTCATTTATTTATTTATTTTTGAGACAGAGTCATGCCATTGCCCAGGCTGGAGGGCAGTGGCATGGTTCCCGCAGACTGCAACCTCTGCTTCTCAGGTTCAATTAATTCTCCTTCCTCAACCTCCAAAGTAGTGTGCATTACAGGTGCCTGCCACCATGTCCAGCTACTTTTTTTTTTTTTTTAACGCAGACTGGTTTTTACCCTGTTGGCCAGGCTGCTCTCAAATCCCTGACCTCACAGGAGCCACTTTCCTTGGCCTGCAGTGGTGAGCATACAAGAGTGAGCCACCGCTCATGACCTTCAACACTTTTTACTCCATGTAAATTATTCTGGCACAGGCTTCTAGAAAGTTCACTTGGGGTCAGGTAGACGGGAGGGGACCTCAGCGTCCCTTGAAGAAGGGATGTGAACTGCTTAGAAAGACCACAGACGTGGAATGCATGGGGTTTTAGTGTTTATTGGGTAAATGAAGCTGAAATCTCAGGTGTGTAACCAGGAGATAAATGCATGAGTTGGGAGCCTCAGTATGCTGCCCAGGCTAAGCTGGGCTTAGATCCTCCTGCCTCTGCTCCTCTCCCGGTTTTGGTAGTCGGGAAGACATGTGACTATTAACCGATGCACAGGGAAGATGAAACCCCCACTTACATTTATTTTTAGATAAACAGTGTATTTGAGATGTACTTGAACAACAAATGATTTGCTGTATAGGTGTGGACGAAGTCGCGCTCTGTCACCCGGCTGGAGTCCAGTGGTGCGATCTCAGCTAATTGCAACCTCCGCCTCCCAGGTTCACGTGCTCCTCCTGTGTAGCCTCCCGAGCAGCTGAAACTACAGGTGCGCACCACCACGCCCAGCTCATTTTTGTATTCTAGTAGAGATGGGGTTTCACCATGTTGCCCAGGAAGGTCTATGTCTGTTGACTAGTTGAAGTTTGGCTTCCCAGGGTGCTGGGATTACCATCACCAGCCACCGACTCTGGCCATATTTTTTGTATTTTTAGTAGAGGGGGTTTCGCTATTTTAACCAGGCTGGTTTAGAGCTTTTGACCTCAAGTGATACGTCCGCCTCTGCCTTCCAAAATGCGGTGATTACAGGTGTGAGCCACCGTGCCCACCCTAGTTTATTCTGTTCAAAATCTATTCTGTAACTTTTAGGCCTAGCCTGTGGTCTGCACTGAAGGATGTTTGTGTGTACAGCCATGTAGATTCTTCACCATCTTAGATTCCATTTTGGATGCTTCCATTGAGATGGTGTGTCCGTGTGCTGGAGCTGAAGTCAACCCTTGACTCAAAATCCACCGCTGTTCTCTAGAAATCCAGCCAATATTCATGGTTAAATAGAAGGTATATGTAGTAGGCATTATTTTTTTTGGGGGGGGAACAGAATTCAGGAGCATCACCCTTTACCGAACAAGGCTAACCTGCTGAGCCTTTGAAGCAACGAACAGAAGATGGGACTGTTAGGTGTTTACGGTCTGCATTCCGGAAAATGTGCGAACAGGGCCAGAGATGTAGATGAATGCATCTTTCTCTTTGTGTCCAGTGGCCCAGGCTGGGGTGGGCGACACTTCCATCGAGATCTCTAGGGTTCCAGTGGTCCTTTCTTTTCTTTTTCGAGACCCACTGTGGCTCCGTGGCCCAGGCTGGAGTGCAGTAGCAGGATCTCTACTCACTGGAAACTCCACCTTCCAGGTTCTAGGGATTCTGCCACCTCTGCCTCCCAAATAGTTGGGAATACAGATACTTGCCATCACTCCCTGCTAATTTATTTTTTTTTCTGAGACAGAGTTTTGCTCTTGTTGTCCAGGCTACAGTGCAGTGGCGTGATCTTGTCTCACTGCTACCTCTGCCACCCGGGTCCAAGCACTTCTCCTACTGTAGCTTCCCAGGTAGCTGGTATTGCAAGCACCCAGCCACACCCACCTACTTTTTGTGTTTTTACTGTAGATGGGGTTTCACCATGTTGGCCAGGCTGGTCTTGAATTCATAACCTCAGGTGATCCACTAACCTTGGCCTTCCAAAGTCCTGGGATTACAGGTCTATAAGCCCCGTGCCTAGCCTCAAGTGGTCCTCTTGAGTCAGCCTAGACGGTGATCTATGCTGGAGGATGTTCGTCTGTGGAAAATGTATGTTCTTCAACATCTTAGATTCTATTTTGGTAGCTCCCATCAGGACTGTGTGTCCCTGTACCTGGCTCAACATCCATTGCTGTTCTCTAGAAATCCAGCCCAGTTCTCTGGGGTAAGGATGACGTCTGCCTAGTTGGCATTGCTTTTCTCTTTGAGGACAAAACTCAGAAAGATTGCCCCCTGATTACAAGGGTGACCTGCTGAGCCTTTGAAGCAAGGAACTAGAGATGGTGATTTTTAGGGTTTTATATTCTGGATTCCAGAAAACATGCAAACAGGGCAACTAAATGCATCTTTATATTTGTGTCCATTTTCACCCGGTCAAGGGAAATTCCAACAAAAATCCCAGAGTGCTAGAGGAAGAAGATCTCATGCTGTGACCCTCTAAAGGGAGGTGCTTTCTGTTGTCTGGAAAGAAAGAGACGCCTTCCCTTTAGAGTGTTACCGTTTGAGAAAAGCAACGTTGAAGCTGATGCCGAATTTTATAATACATTTGCAGAGCACGCCTGTAGTCAGACTTGATGTCGAGGTTCTGTTTTGTTTTTGTTTTATAAGACAGGGTCTGTGTTGCCCAGGCTCGAGTACAATGTGTTTTTGTTTGTTTTTTGTTTTGTTTTTTTTTTTTTTTTGAGACGGAGTTTCGCTCTTGTTACCCAGGCTGGAGTGCAATGGCGCGATCTCGGCTCACCACAACCTCCGCCTCCTGGGTTTAGGCAATTCTCCTGCCTCAGCCTCCTGAGTAGCTGGGATTACAGGCACGCGCCACCATGCCCAGCTAATTTTTGTATTTTTAGTAGAGACGGGGTTTCACCATGTTGACCAGGATGGTCTCGATCTCTTGACCTCGTGATCCACCCGACTCGGCCTCCCAAAGTGCTGGGATTACAGGCTTGAGCCACCGTGCCCGGCCTTGTTTTTTATTTATTTATTTTTGACATGAAGTTTCGCTGCCACCATCCCGGGTGACCGCAACCTCCGCTTCCCAGGTTCAATTAATCCTCCTGCCTCAACCGCCCGAGTAGGTGAAATCACAAGTGCCCATCACCACACCCGGCTACTTTTTGTATTTTGTTCATTCATTTGTGCAGCAGAGACTGGGTTTCACCACGTTGGCCAGGCTGGTCTCAAACCTCTGACCTCAAGTGAGCCACTCACCTCAGCTCCGCAAAGTGTTGAAGATGCAGGTGTGAGCCACTTCTCATGGCCATCAACACCTTTTACTGCATGGAAATTATTCTGGCACTGGTTTTTGGAACCTCACTTTGGGGTCAGGTAGAGTTGGAGAAGTCCTCAGTGTCCCTTGAAGAAAGGATGTGAGAATTTGCAAGAGCAGAGAGGTGGAATGCATGGGGGTGCAGTGTTTATTGGGTAAATGAAGCCGAAATCTTTGGTGAGTGACCAGGATATAAATGTGTGAAATGGGGGTCTCACTATGGTGCCCAGACTAAACTAGGGTTAGATCCTCCTGCCTCTGTCCCTCCCCATTTTTGATAGCTGGGAACACATGTATGTAAATATTAACTCATGCACAGGTAGAAAACAGTAAGGACTGTTCTTTGGTTCGTGCCCCACCCTCACTTAAATTTATATTTTAGATAAACAGTATGTTTGAGATGTCCTTGAACAACAAATGATTTTCTGTTTAGGTGTGGAGGAAGTCTCACTCTGTCGCCAGGCTAGAGTGCAATGGCGTGATTGCAGCTCACTGCAACCTCTGCCTCCCAGGTTCAAACGATCCTCCTGCCTAAGCCTCCTGAGTAGCTGAAACTACAGGTATGTGCCCAGCTAATGACTGTATTTTTAATAGAGATGGTGTTTCACCATATTGGCCAGGATGGTCTCGATCTCTTGACCCTGTGATTAACCCACCTGGGCTTCCTGAAGTGCTTGGATTATAGTCATCAGCCAGTGAGCCTGGCCAATTTTTTTGTGTTTTTAATATAGAAAGGGTTTCGCCATGTTAACCAGGGTGGTGTTGAACTCCTGACCCCAGGTGATGCATTCGCCTCTGCTTTCCAAAACACGACAATTACAGGCAACCTCTGCTTCTCAAGTTTGCTTAATTCTCCTGTCTCAACCCCTAGAGTAGCTGGAATTACTGGCACCCACTACCATACCCAGCTACCTCTGTGGTTCTTTTTTTTTTTTTTTAAAGTGGAAACTCAGTTTTACCCTGTTGACCAAGCTGGTCTCAAACTCCTGATCTCAAGTGAATCGCTCACCTCGGCCTCTCAAAATGCTGAGAATACAGGTGTGAGCCACCACCCATGGCCATCAACACCTTTTACTTCATGGAAATTATTCTGGCATTAGTTTATAGAACCTCACTTGGGGTCAGGTAGAGTTGGAGGGGACCTCAGTGTCCCTCGAAGAAGGGATGTGGACTGCTTCGCAAGAGCACAGAGGAGGAATGCATGCGTTTTAGTATTTGATTGGGTAAATGAAGCTGAAATCTTGGGTGCGTGACCAGGAGATAAATGCACGAGCCAGGGTTTCAGTATGATGCTCAGGCTTAAACTAGGGGTTAGATCCTCCTCCCTCCGCCCCTTCCTCCTTTTGGTAGATTGGGACACATGTGAATATTAACTGATGCACAGGAAGGAAGAAAGAAAGAAAACGGTTTTCTGGTCCATGCCCCACCCCAGTTAAATTTCTATATTCGGTCCTCCTGTCACAGCCTCCTGAGTAGCTGAAACCGCAGGTGAGGGCCACCATGCCCAGCGTAAAGATTGTATTTTTCACAGAGCCAGGGTTTCCACCATGTTGACCAGGATAGTCTCCATCTCTTGACCTTGTGATTCACCCATTCGGCCTCCCGAAGTGCTGGGAGTATAGGCATGAGCCATGAGCCACTGCACCTGGCCACATTTTTTGTTTTTTTAGTAGAGGTGGGTTTGTGTGTGTGTGTGTGTTAATCAGTTTAATTTTGAACTTCTGACCTCTGGTGATGTGTCTGCCCCTCCGTCTTCCAAAGTGTGGCCATTACAGGCGTAAGCCACTGTGCCCTGTGTGTAATTCTGTTCAAAATTTATTCAGTAACGTTTATGCGTGGCCTGTGGTCTGTACTGGAGGATGTTTGTGTGTACGACAGTGTATCTTCTTCAACATCTTAGCTTCCATTTTGGATGCTTCCATATAAACTGTGTGTCCCTGTGCTGGAACTCAAGTGAACTCTTGGCTCAAAATCCATTGCTGTTCTCTAGAAATCCAGGCCAATTCTCATGCTTACATATACAGCATGCCTGGTGGGCATTACTTTTTCTCTTTGGGACAAAACTCAGGAGCATTGCCCTTTGATGAACAAGGCTGACCTGCTGAGCCTTTGAAGCAAAGTACTAGAGATGCTCATTTTAGTGGTTTATGTTCTGGATTCCAGAAAATATGCAGACACGGCCAGTAGATGCATCTGTATTTTGGTGTCCATTTTCACCTGGTCAAGGGAAATTCCAGCAAGAATCCCAGAGTGCTAGAGCAAGATCTCATGCTGTGACCCTCTAAAGGGAGGTGCTTTCTGTTGTCTGGAAAGAAAGAGACGCCTTCCCTTTAGAGTGTTACCGTTTGAGAAAAGCAACATTGAAGCTGATGCCGAATTTTATAATACATTTGCAGAGCACGCCTGTAGTCAGACTTGATGTCGAGCTTCTGTTTTGTTGTTGTTTTCTAAGACAGGGTCTGTGTTGCCCAGGCTCGAGTAGAGTGGCACCTCCAACCTGGATCTCTTGTGTTCAGATGGTTCTCTTTTTTTGGACAGAGGCTTACTCTGTGACCCAGGCTGTAGTGCAGTGCCAGGACCTTGCTCACTGCAACCTGTGCCTTCTGGGTTCAAGAGATTCTCCTGTCTCAGCTTTTGAAGTAGCTGGAATTTCAGGAGTCCACCACCGTATCTCGCTAATATTTGTAGTTTTTAAAATTATTTATTTATTTTTGAGATGGAGTCTCGCTGTCGCCCAAGCTGGAGGGCAGTGGCACGATCCCGGCTGACAGCAATCTCTGCTTCTCAGGTTCAATGAATTCTGCTGCCTCAATCTCCAGAGTTGCTGGAATTACCGGTGCCCGCCACCATGCCTAGCTACGTGTTGTATTTTTTGTTTGCTTGTTTTAGTGGATAGGGTTTCACCCTGTTGGCCAGACTGGTCTCAAACACCTGACCCCCAATGAGCCCCTCGCTTCGGCCTCCCAAAATGCTGAGAATGCAGGTGTGAACCACCATCCGTGGACAGTAACACCTCTCATTGACTCCATGGAAATTATTTTGGCAGTGGTGTATAGAATCTCACTTGGGGTCAGGCAGATTGGAGGGGACCCCAGTATCCCTTGAAGAAATGATGTGGAGTGCTTAGCAAGAGCATAGAGGTGGAATGCATGGGGTTTAGTGTTTGTTGGGTATATGAAGCTGAAATCTTGGGTGCGTGACCAGGAAATAAATGCATGAGACGGGGTTCTCAGTATGTTGCCCAGGCTAAGCTAGGGTTAGGGCCTCCTGCCTCTGCCCCTTCCCCATCCTTCATAGATGGGAACACATGTAAATATTAACCCATGCACAGGCAAGAAGAAAGGAAGGCCTGTCCTTGCTGTATGCCCATTCCCAATTACATTTGTATTTTGGATAAACAATGTATTTCAGATATACTTGAACAACAAATGATTTGCTGTTTAGGATTGGACGAAATCTTTCCCTGTCGCCAGGCTGGAGGGCAATGGCATGATGTCAGCTCACTGCAACCTCCGCCTCCTAGGTTCAAGCAATTCTGCCTCAGCCTCCCGAGTAGCTGAAACTACAGGTGCGCACCACCATGCCCAGCTCATTTTTGTATTTTTAGTAGAGTTGGGGTTTCACCATGTTGGCCAGGATGGTCTTGATCTCTTGACCTCATGATCCACCCGCCTCGGCCTCCCAGAGTGCTGGGATTACAGGCGTGAGCCTATTTTTTTATTTTTTGAGACACACTCTCACTTTGTGGCTCAGGCTGGAGTGCAGTGGCAGTATCTTTGCTCACTAGAAACTCCACCTCCCAGGTTCATTGATTGTCCCACATCAGTCTGCCGAATACTTAACAATACAGGCGCCTGACATCACACCCTTTGAGACAGAGTCTCACTGTGTCACCAGGCTGGCATGCAGAGTCTTGATCTCGGCTCACTGCAACCTCCATCTCCCTGGTTCAAGCGATTCTCCTACCTCAGTCTCCTGAGTAGCTGGGATTACAGGAACCCATCACTATCCTCAGCTAATTTTTATACTTTTAATAGAGTACAAAATGTTGTCCAGGCTGATCTTGATCTCCAGTCCTCATTATTTGCTCGCCTTGTACTCCCAAAGCGACGAGATTACAGGTTCGAGCCACTGGGCCGGCTGGTGTTTTGTTTATTTGTTTGTTTTGATGGAGTCCGCTCTCTTGCCCAGGCTGAGGGCAATGGCTTGATCTCAGCTCATTGCATCCTTCGCCTCCTGGGTTCTAGCGATTCTTCCTCAGTCTTCCAGGTAGCTGGGATTACAGGTACCTACCACCACACCCAGCTAATTTTTGTGCTTTTAGTAGAGACAGGGTTTCACCATATTGGCTAGTCTGGTCTCAAACTCTTGGCCTCAGATGATCCACCTCCTTGGCCTCCCAAAGTGCTGGGAGTATGACCCACCATGTCTAGCTTCAAATGGTCCTCTTGAATCAGACTTTGGTTTATGCTGGAGGATGTTTACGTGTGAAAATATGTATTTTCTTTTGGTTGCTCCCATGAGGACTGGGTGTCCCTTTACTCGAACTCAAGTGAACACTTGCCTCAGTATCCATTGCTGTTCTCTAGAAATTCAGCCCAGTTCTCTTGGGTAACTAGAAGGCATGTCTAGTGGGCATTGCTTTTTCTCTTTGGGAACAAAACTCAGGAGGATTGCCCCCTAAGGAACAAGGCTGACCTGCTGAGCCTTTGAAGCAAGGAACTGGAGATGGTCCTTTTAGGGGTTTATGTTCTGGATTCCAGAAAACATGCAATCAGGGCCAATGAATGCATCTTTATTTTTTGCAATCATTTTAACCGGGTCAACGAAAATTTTAACAAGAAATCCACAGTGTTGAGCAAAAATATCTCAGGCCGTGACCTCTAGAGGGAAGCACTTTCTGTTGTCTGAAGGGAAAGAAGATGCTTCCCTTTAGAGCGTTGCCGTTTGAGAAAAGCAACGTTGAAGTTGATGCTGACGTTGGTAATACATATGCAGGACACGCTTATAGTCAGATTTGGACCATGGTGGGGTTCTGATTTTGTTTTTTTGGGTTTCTTTTTCTAATACGAGGTCTCTCTTGCCCAGGCTGGAGTGCAGTGGATGATCTTGGTTCACTACAACCTTTGCTTCCCAGGTTCCAGCGATTCTCCTGCCCCAGCCTCCCGAGTATCTGTGACTACAGATGCCCAGCACCACACCCAGCTAATTTTTATATTTTTAGTAGCGACAAGGTTTTGGCAAGTTGGCCAGGCTGGTTTCGAACTCCTAAGCTCAGATGGTCTGCCTGCCTTGGCCTTCCAAAGTGCTGAGATTACAGGCGTGAGCCACAACGCCCGGCCCATTCGTCTCTTTAGTTTAATCTGCTCGTCCCTGACGCTGAAAATCTTTTCTCTCCGACAACTTGTCATTATTTCTCGGAATAGACCTGCTTTCTCTGAAGGAAGGCTGCAGTTGATTCAGCCCTCACCCACTCATGCCAACCCTAGTCAGTTTTTCAGACTACAGCTGCACTGTTTACCCTCTTGCCTTTGGGTAAGCATTCCAGACCATTCCAACA